TTGTTGCCACACATCACAAGCCAATCGGTATTGCTCGGATTTGCATGGGGCGTGACCCAGCTGCTGTAGTAAGCCACACCTGTTTGACTACTCCAGTGGCCATGGAGGAAATTGGGATGATGGCCAGTTTGAAGAATGCGGCCCATTCTGCCTCCTGCGACATAACGGGAGATGGAACAAATCGTGAAGTCCGGCTTCATGATCTTGCCAAAGTCATACCCGGCATTGCTGTCGCCGGCCAGGTAGCCCACAGGCTTAGTCGCGCCGTTTCCAGCCTCGACCTTTCTGGTGATGCTGCCCTTCGTCACGCGACCCTGCCAGCTGCCCACCGCGCTCTTCCAAACTGGATTGGCATCCTCGCTCTTGAACCAAGCCACCATGGATGACGGAGCTGCCGGCTCCAGGTCTCTGTGGAACAGTCCCGTGGTGGTTGTGGTGGTCGAGGTTGTGGTCGATGTTGTCGTGCTCGTAGTCTCAGCAGTCAAGGGCTCGGTGCTTGCTCAAGGGTTGCTCATCTGGAGATGCCAGCTACTAGCTCCAAGTGGTTTTGATGGGCAAGAAAGTGGCCAAGGCCCAACTGCAAATGTCACTATCACACTGCTGCAGCAAAGGCGTTGGCCAAAGTGTCGTTGATCAGTGCGTGTATACACTCCAGAATGTTCGGCCCAAAGGAGCCACCTACGTCAATTCTACGTGCATGCACATCTACATATAGACACATGCAGAAATCATGCACCTACATCTCACATGCGGTAGGTTACATTCGGTAGGTACACATCCACACATTGACATAAGACAAAGATTGTTGGCAACAGCAAAAGAACCCGCCACCAACAAACCAACGACCAAATGTCACAATCAATGCCTCTTGAGCATTCCAGTCACTCACATGTTCGGATTTGAAGACGGCGAAAAACAACAATACCAAGATCACTGTGACCATCTTCACTGTCAGCAAGTCTATCAATCAGCATTATTAAGAAGATAATCATAGGCATGTGATTTTGCATCCTCATGCTCATCGACAAGATGACCATCTAAGCAAGCTTCCTTCCGGAATCGCTATCGTCAAGACATGCCGGCTTTATTGTCATCATCCTCCTCACCATGACCACCACGAATCGTCGTTGTCATCGTCATGGGTCATCAAGCGCCTTGCAAATCATGGGAGGCATCATCAAACGTACTTGGGGCAGTGTCTTGACAGTGCAGCAAAATCGAGGCATTTCTTCTGGAACCTAGCCACCCGCCCCACTCTGAAAGTATCACTATTCCGGCGCGTCGCAAAACAACGAGCAGTACATGCATATGCAAAGCAAATGCACACGTGCCCGTGTTCTGGTCGGTTGACAGGATGCAGCACCTTGAGATTGCCTTGCATTTTGCTAAGCACACATATCAAGATTACACATATGCACACGTGCAAACATGAGCATCGGAACCAAACGGAAGCTTCTATCATGCTGTATAGACGCTCGTGTATACATGTTCGTGCATGGAAATGCAGGGCGGGGTCTGTCTACGTCTAAACGCGTGTGTCAGCGACGTCGTGTCTTCCTTGGCAAGATGTTGGAATCTAGGAAACTAACACCGTCGAAAGTGAACCCTTTCGTTGGTGCTGCTCCGTGCCGATCTGCAGGCCCTCGACTCCGTGACCAACATACTCGGCATTCAAGGTCGAGGGCTTCCGCAGTTTGTTTAGGCGCGATCGGCCCGAAAAACTCACCAAAATCCTGCATCCGAGCGACAGTCTGACAGCGGGAGCCCATGGCCCTCGGCTCGTATACTTGATGCGACTTCCAGCAAAGCGACTCAAGTCGTTCAAACCGCCCGAAACATGTAACCTGCAAGGCTGAGCGCCAAGGGTCAAGCACCGTCCGTCCAGCCAAGTGCACTGCATTGTGCGTTCCTCGGTACATCCGGTTTTCGGCGCTCACTGCACCGCAAATGCTAGGCCAGGCGAAATCCTCCACGAGCCGTGCAACCCTGAAGTGACTGTGCCAACGATATTCCGTCCTAAAACGCAGTCGGTTCGAGGAGCCTACGACTCGCGACCCTGTTTTAAGAATCAGCCCCATAAGGCCGGAGGTGCAAACGGAGTTGTACCGCATCGCACAACAATTTCTCGACTCATTCCATTCCCAGCAAACCTTACTCTAGTAGCTTTTCACAACCACATTCACACCGACCGTGGAGTTCTGAGGTAATTCCGAGTTCACCTGGCCGTCCACAGCGCAGGTAGACTTTGTCATGCTGGGTATCAAGGTATGTGTGTTACAACGTTTCTTTTTTGAACTCGCAACTGCCAACTACCAAGAGGAAGCAGAAATCCTCATCTGTCGAACGAGCCACTCCCACCGTCACGAAGTGGCTGTTGCAGTCTGGCTCCTCCGCATGAAGCAATTGCTCGTTACATGCAGGAATTGCAAGTTGTACCGCAGGAGTGTGCAGAAAAGAGCTCGTGCCGATCTCAACCGATCTTTGTTGGGACTTTGTGTGATTCGCCTTTTTGACGTGCTTTTCAACGCTTTCACAGGAATTTAGTCAGTCCAATGAGACACCGCCACCACCTCGGGCACCAGCACCAGTGCTTCAGGTTTGCAGAACACCGAACCGAGTCTCGGTTTCCTCGATAATAGCCCTTGGTGTTGGTGCAAGCTATCTGCAAAGCAGTCGAGCTAGGAACATCAGGCGCAACACTTAACGATTTAGGAGTGGTAACACGTCGGTGACAATCGCCCTAAGTCGGAAAGTCGACGCTTCAAAACTGCGTCTGGCAATGAGTACTTGGAGCTCATACCCAGAGAGTTTAGCAGCAGATACGAATTACTCGCCAGAACCATCCTACTAATCACTTCCCCCAATTATTAAACACTTTGGGCCCAATCCTCCCGAAATCATTCCTGCCCTTTAAAACCTAATTTGGATTGGGGGGAGGAGTAAGAGCACAGGTAAGAGCAGGAGTAAAAGCAAGAGCAAAAGCAAGAGCAAAAGCACAAGCAGGAGCAACAGCAAGAGCAGGAGCCAAAGCCAGCGGGAGCACGAGCCAGAGCAGGAGCAAGATCCCTCGAAAGTGACAGTAGAGCTACAAGTCCCCCCTAATGATAAATAACACTTTCCGAGTTTCTATTGGGGGGGCCTCCCCCGTTTAATATCAAGGGGATACGATTACTCTGAGTTGTGATAACAGACAAGCACAGCAACCATTGTCACTGTTGTTGTAGGAGGCGTGTTGTTAAACTTGTAGATTGTGGCCGTCAGCATGTCCCTGATTTTTGCACGACGTCCTACGACCTATAACTGTGTCCACGGACATAAACCCAACAAGTGAGGCCTGCAGATGGGAGCACGAACTGTGGCCTTCCGCGATGGCGCCCTGCAGATGTCAGGGATCGTATCTCTTCCTAAACCAGAGAGTGACCCAAAGCCTTGAACTCCCGAGCCCGCTGTGTATGAGAGGCAGTTCTGATCCCAGCTTGCCAGGTTTCATTAAAGAGTGTTTCGACTGCCTTCTAGCTAAGAAATGAAGGGTGCCCAATGTTCTGGGGTCATTTCTTATTTGGCTGGGTGGTTCGTTTCTTGATCCGGGCGTTCTCAAGCCCTGAAAACCCCTACAATAAGGAATGTATTGGCTACGTATCTTATTTTAGGGGGTTTCAAGGGGTTTCCAGGTCCTATAACCCTAGGGCATGGGGCAAAATATGAAATGTAGGAAGTGAGCGGGGAACGCGAAAAGATATAGTGACTGCCACTGAGTCGTTTTGGCTTTTCGAAACCTCCTCCCTCGTCCATTCTCGTGTGTGGGGCGGGTGGGGGGGAACGATTTAGTGGCTGGCACTAAGTCGTTTTGTTTTTTCAGGCTCGGGTTTGGGGCAGGTGCTCGGGGTGAAACACTGGAATGTTAATGTTACACATCCAGGTGCTTATCTGTTTCACGTATCACATGCATGTTTCCATGCTTGCTGCTCAGGGTTCTAGCAGAGTATCGATTACTGCTGTGAGCCTGTAGAGAAAAGAGAGACCCCTGTTGTAGTCCTGTACCTCTGAGGGTCTACACGCCCAGGTTACATTTCAGGGGGGGGGGGGCGAAACGATCTAGCGGCTGCAACTATTCCTCCAAGCTCGGGTCTGGGGCAAGTGGGGGGGAATCGATTTAGTGCCTGCCACTACGTCGTTTGGGCTTTTCGGGACCTCTTCCAAGCCCGGGTTTGGGGCAGGCGGGGTTTGGCCTTTTGAAACCTCCTCCAAGCTCGGGAAAGGAACAACTGACACCCCTGGAGATTGAGCCCGTGGCCTTTTTTTGCAGGAGGGCTTCTGATGGCTTCTGAGGAAGGCGCACGACCACTAAGCTACGGAGGATCTTAACTGGATTGGCCTTTAGGATAAGACTGGAAGGACTCACACAAGCCTTGACAGGCCGTTAGTAAGGGCACTTGAATAAGGGGTTAACAAGGCTTTCATGAAAGCTTAATATGGACCTAATGAAGGCTTAGTAAGGCTTGAACAAGGACGAGACTCAAATTGCAAGCTTTGCATGCTCTACCCATGTAACCCGGGCATGGGGCAGAGGCCAGAACAAAAATGGAGGGAGCTACATTTCTTATCTTGGTGGTGTTCGAGTAGCTGAATGGGAACGCATGTGTCAGGACCTTCACGTGCATGGGCTAAAGCCCCGGCTAAGCAATGAACAAGAAGAAAAGGGTACTCAACGATCTGGGACATGGCATGGGAGATGTGGAAATGTGAAATTAAAAAGGAAGCTAGAAAATGAAAGGCACCCAATGCCGGGAGGGCCGGGAGCTAGCATTTCTTATCCAGCAGTTGCACTGTAGATGCAATCGGCCTGTTCCTAAGTCGACAGTTGGCTGCGCTGGGCTATCCACTGACTTCAGGGTCCAAACCTCTGTCAACGCGATTCTTGCTACCACGAAGCTTCGTTTCGTCTAAAATACTGACATTTGTACGTGACTCTTTTGGAATGTGTGCCTTAAGTAGCGGAAGAAAGTTGCTGTCTGTGCTTGATCTGATACTAACCACCAAGTAATTCGGCGCAAGCCCCAGCCCCGCCCCTTTGCTTTCAAGAAAGAAAACTGCAAACACACAGGCCTGGCACTCGGGGAGAACCTCCTCCTCGGCAGGGCGGTCTTGGCGCTTGATGCCGGAGCCGACGGGCGGTGAGTTCACTTCGAAGGACCATGCGTCTTCCTTAGCCTTTGCGGCAGGATCTGTCATTCTCACGGCCTTGGACGCTCGCCGCACCTTGTCGACGTCCGCGTAGTTGAAGTCAAACAAAGCGGCGATGGCTCGGGCCCTGCTCTCTTCCGAGACGAGCTCATCCGGAATTGCTGCCAAAATTGCGGCGAATTGCTCGGCAAAGTTGAACAACGGGATCTTCATCTGCGGGCTTTGGTAGTAGCCGAAACCCATTTGCATCCCGAGATAAATGACATTACCCGTCAAGAGGCCTTGAATATCGAAGTTCACCATACCTGGGTTCTTGAAGCCGAAGAGCTTGAAAGTTTCCTCCTGCTCAAGGCCTTCGGAGGTCGAAAGAAGGGAACTCATGCGCTGCCCAGCTGAAGGCCCTCGTGCTTCAGAGGTTTTGTTGATACCCAGGTCCTTCCCAATCTCGATCGAAGCCAAGTAGAGATCGTCCTCCTCCGTCTTCCAGTACAAGGATTCCCTGAGCCGAGCCTTCTCGTGCGTCCTGCTGCGGTTGCTTTGCAGCAGTGAGGTCCTTGACATGTATTCCATGGCAGTTCCACTCTCTCCCTCCGCCGCTGAAACCCCAAAGAAGCTTTCCGAGGTTTGGTGGCTTCCATGGACATTATCAGACGTGAAGTGCGTGTCGCTGCCAAACCGCTTCGCCAGGCGCAGTGTCCGGCTGAACAGCATGACACCGTTGGACCTGATCTCGGAGCGCAGAACGCTGAGGTCAAGCCCACCCGGCTGGTATCTCGGCCAGCAAACCTGACTGCTCAAACGAATGCAGGCATTGGCTTGATTCATATTTGAGCAACAGTACCAGAGTAGACGATCCATAGTTCTGGTGTTTCACCCTACGGCGACTCCATCCTGACTGTTGATTTCGATCTGCCTCATGTTGCTGTCGCAACTGCTCGCAAGTACATTTGCTTTTTCTCTCGTGGCGGCACCATGGAACTTTTGGCCAGAGTCAGGGATTTGGCCTGGTAAGTGATGGCTTGAGGTGCGCGTAGCCTGGGTGAACGGCGGTTCCACCTCCTATGGCTCATGCTGTGGCACGGCACAGATTCGACAAAAAATGCATTCTTCCTGCAGTCCGAAGACGGCCCCCGCTGGGATGCCGAACTCGCGGCAAGCATCCAACACTGTGGTTGTGTAAGGGTTCCGTTTCGGCGTATTTTGTATGACTTTTTGTGCGTTTTTGGGTGCTACCGTGCTCCCGCACTAGTCCTGCGGATACTATGAATTGCGACTCGTCATCCTCCTGCCACAGTGCTCTGCGTGCTCCAGCGTGCAATTCATTCGCACTCGTACCACAGCCTGGTTCGCATGTTGGATGCATGGGGTGGGGCGTCGGGAGCTGCAGGGTTCTTGTGTATGTTGGACTTGCGCTGATGGGTGTTTGATCGTCCAGACCGCACTCTTGCATTTGTGTGCGTGCCCCAGGTGCCAATCGCAAGGCGACTCTAGAGACTCTAGAGGAACCAGGCACATGATCACAGATGGGCATGACCCTTTCGTATAAGGCCCGGACTGTAGAATCGATTTCGGCCAGTGGACCCGGAAGTAAATCGAACTGCACACCGCCAACGAAGGCGACCACGGGCTGCATGTTCAACTCGAAGGTCACCGTCACACACTTCTCAATCGACGTGCCAACCGAATAGAAGGAATATCCTTGCCACTTGTCCCAATGGTCCTTGATCCACTCGGCACCACAAGGCACCGCCCAAGGCTCCAGCTTCACGAAGTCGTCCTCTGTCTCTGCCTGCCAATCCTTTTTGGTGGCCTGGTTATTGCTACCCGTCTTCGTTCTGGGTGCGAATGCCAAGCAGGATCCAGTCACGGTCTCCCTGCCGTTGAACCTCGGCATACTAGACGTGCTTCCTCCAGAGGATCTGGGCTTCTGAGCTCAGGCCTAAACCAAACGGAAACTTGCACAAAACGGATACTGCCTTCCTCGCCGTCGTTTTGCCTTTGGGCTGCTGATTTTGGGACGGACCGACCCTAACATGGCAGCTGACACCCTCGAACTTCAAGCTTCAACGCCTGCAGTGCATGCATGCTCTCATGCTTGTGACCCTGTCTTATCATCGAAAGCTAGAACTATTGTTGCTTTGATTTTGGTGTCTGGTTTCTTCAGGTTGTTTCGATGTTTGCTTATATTGCCCCAATTGCTGATTGGCTTTGTGTTACAGATTTCCCACCCTGATGTGCCTGGTCGGTCTGGGCTTTGCGAATGATGAGTGACTTGTTTGGGCTATCTTGAATGATGATACATATGATGTTGTGCTATTGTCTTAGATTATGTTTGATGTTCCGTTGATTTCTATCAGCTTTGGTTTTGACTTCCATTTGTTTTGTGTTTTAGCTCTTCGTTTTAATCAGATATAACACCGAAAGCAGTTTTAAACATAAACGAACCACAAAGAAACCCTGGACAAGGACTCAAAGTAAATACAACTTCGGAAGCCACCCCTCAGCCTTTTACGAGGAATGAAACTCTGAATCTTTACTTCTGCATTCGTGGGCACCCAAAATGGCCCACTGCAACGCTGCTACATCATGCGCGGTCCAACACAGAGATAGGGAGACGGAGAAAGAAACACCTAGAGAGTGAGAGCTAGTGTGCAAGTAAGTGTGTGTGTGTGTGCGGGTGTTTGCGGTTGTCTCTGTGTCAGTGTTTAGGTGGGCGCAGGTGGGTGTGGGGGTGACACCTTTCCTGGTGTCCTGGGTGCCTCTTCCGAGACAAGCAGCTGCGTAACCAGCTCGTGGGTCTCAGCTCCATAGTCGTGAAAACTCCATTTCACGCCGGCCGGAGGCTTGTCGTCCTCTTCTTCGCCGTCCCCTTGGGCCTGGGCCGAAGGCTACTGAGAAGATGACTGCTCCTCCATGCTGGGACCTTGTGCCGACTTCGCGTTACAGGTCCTACGTGTACAGCACGGAGCCTCCAGGCTGGCCAACTCCTGCAGCAACTCGGCGTGTTTGCCGGGCATCTTCTGCGAGTGCTTCGTGATGACGAGGTTGGCGCCTGCACAGTTTGGTTTGTAAGAGACTGCCGTGCAGGTAGTCTTGCCTGGAAAACTTTGCCATCCCAGCAACATCGAACGCTTTCGTCCGGCCTCTGTGATGCACCATCGCCTGAGCGCCGGCAGAGGGGAACTCCGTGGTGGCCGCCGTCTGCAGCAGCGATTCCCCTCCCTTTATGGCTTGAGCCGCCAACTTGGAGGCCACCTTGGCGAAGGCTGCGATGAACTCTGCGAAGATGTCGCCAAGGCGATTCAAGAAGTTCAGAGGAGGGACGCGGCCGATGATCTTGTAGCCGAGGCACTGCACCAAGTCACCTTTCGCTGCTGCCTCAGAGCACTTCATTAGCTCCTTGCCCATTGTGATCATGTTTGCGATAGAGTTCGGATCGCTTCCTCCGAGAAGCTGCATTGGCCCAGGCATGAGCCCCATGATGTCACCACTAGCAATCTGGTTCAACTTTCCCGGCAAGAGGCTCATTATATGGCCATTCGCAAGTGCCTTTACGGGATCGGGCATCCAGTGCAGCGGTGGGGCCAAGTGCTGAATCCAATGGCCAAGACATGCGATCAAATGATGATGGTGACTGCGGTCTGGGCAATGCATTAGCTCCCACCCCACGCTGAACACTGTCCGGATAGCCTCGTACGTAGTCCCTGCAACCAGCTTGACGGGCTCTGGTAGCCAGGGCAGAGGATTTACGAGGCCATAGACCCAATGTGCAAGACACCGAATCAGATCATGGTGGTGGCCACGGTGTTGGCAATGCATCAGCTCCCACCCCACGCTGAACACTGTCCGGATAGCCTCGTACGTAGTCCCTGCAACAAGCTTCACAGGGTTAGGCATGAGCCCCATGATGTCACCACGAGCAATCTGCCTCAACCTTGGGCAGGGATATGTCAATTGTCCCTTAAAACTAATCGGTTCCTGACCGACAAGACAAAGTCATGCACAGATTCATCAAATTGTTTGAGAATGTGTTGCTGCTGGTGCAAGTCTTGCAGAAAAACCGCCAACGGCCGTGATGCTCATGATGCGCATGAAACGAGAAAAGATGCTGCATGACGCTAAACACATGTATACAGATGTCGAGCTGACTTTGATCATTGAGGTGCCCCACCCTCAAAAAAAGGTACATCAAACACTAGGTTCGATATCTTTTCAAGCCTTGCAGGATTGCAGACATGCTCTGCGAGAGATCTGTGTGATTAAGCTGCAGAGCGAAAAACCCGGCATGAACGTAATCAATGGAGAAATGATTTTCGCATGCACTGAGATATCATGCATGTGGCGAGTAAATTCTGCGAGTGCAAGGAAACGGACGCCTTTTCTGGATGGGCGATGTGCGCATGTGCAGGACTGTGTTGCTGTGACTCTGTGTGTGTGTCAATAGTTTCAGGTCTTTGTCTCTGTTTTGCCGGTGTCCGTGCACGTGTTTTTTTGGCTGATTTCTGACTTATACGGTGTGTAGATTTTCAAAGAAAAATACTTATCAAAAACTTGTGAACAACTTATTAAAAACTCATATAACGTATAAGCTCTATGAACACAGTCAAGTTAAGTTCAAGAGAGTATGCTCGCAGTTCGACAAGTCAGTTATAAGTAGGGTAAGTTGACCGGGCCCTACTTTGCACCAAGCTTTGAGCAACGTTGTCACAACTAGAGCTGGCGGCTTTGACAAGGTCATGGAACTGTGAGGGCAGCATGTCATGCACGTTGACCTCCCTCCTGCCCAAATCGAAGTCGTATAGTGTAATGCTTCGCCCCAGTATGGTCGCCGCGCAATACCATCTCCCAAAGTTGACGTAGATCTTGGCCCCGTCAGCCCCAATTCCTGGAGTAGGTTTTGGGCAATTCGCGCCAAATTGGCCTCGCGAAGATCAGGGACATTGCCAGCGAAGGTGCAATGATTCCCCAGCATCCTGAAGCCTCAAAACCTGAACCCACAGCATGCTCTGCGCTCGTTGAGGCCAGGCCCTCACCCTGCCTTCGCGCACGGTCCTGCAGGGGAAACAGCCGCAGTCTACGAGTCTCAAGTTGCAGGGGAAGAAGCACTTTTTGCTCCAGTTTAGTGTGCCTTTAGTGTGCTGTTTGTGGCAGCTCCCCCCACCTTTCAACGGCAGCCGCAACTAGTGCAGGAATGTCCGGAAGGTTGGGAGCACCGGGAAGTGCGGGAACTCCAGGAATGCCCAGACCGGGCACTGATGGCACGCCGGGAAACGAAGGCACACCGGGAACCGAAGGCACACCGGGCACTGAGGGCACACCGGGCACACTGGGAACTGAGGGCACTTTCGTGGGGATAATGGGTGGTGCTGGTACGACTCGGCGCCTGAGGCCAGGCGTTGGAACGCCGGGAATCCAGTTTCCTCGCTTTTGAATCAGGGCCCTGCGCTGTCCAGGGCTCTCCTCGCCTGCGCTCTCCTCGACCTCCTCGTCGTCTTCCTCCAGCTCCTCAACCTCCTCTGTGTGCTTCGGCTTCGGTTGATGGGCCTCCGGATGGTACTCCCGGTGCTCTCGCTGGTGGGCGTGCTTCTGGATCACCCTCTGCAGGACGTCATGGGCTTCCTGCATGCTCTCTTCGGAAGTCTTCTGCGCCAGTGAGACCTCCGCATCATCGGGATCGATCTTCTTCAGCAGCTTGCCAATCAAAGCCTGCTGCATCTCAGCGAGGGTTTCAAGCTGGGCGACTTTCAGCATCAAAAACTCCAAGCTCTTGCCCAATTCGCCCATGCCCCTGCCCTTCTCATCCTTCTCGGAGCTATTCTCACCCTTCTTCTCCATGTCGGGCAATAAGAAGTCGGACTCCTCAACACGAATCAAACATTTATGTCTAACTCGGAAAGTTTTATAAGGTTGCGGAGGTGCAGGGACAATCACGTCCTGCATTTCGCCGACCAGCATGTTCTCAACGAACCCGCTGAGATTCTGGACCACATCCGACACATTCAACGGGTCGGGATCCGTCTTGTTGAGCTTTATCGAAAGCTTGTAGGACCACCCGACCTGTGAGTCCAGAATTTTGGTCAACACCCTCCTCTAACCAAGTGGAGGCTAGGCGGCTAGGAATCAGAACTCCAAGACTTCTACACCTGCCAGGGCCGCCAGGGGGCCTGGGTGAAGATCCAAAGCATCCAAACGAGCCATGTCGTCTGCTTGCTGCGTAAAGTCATTGCCGACTCGGTCGCCACGCTTGCTTCATTGAATCAGGGGATTCTAAACAAAACTTCGAGACTTGAGAAGCGTAGCAGCGCAGCAGTGGTTAGAACACTAACATGCCAGCGGCACATCGCCAGAGCAAGTGAAGTCATCGACACCTTCTCTGATCCTTGCGCCCTGACGTGACACATGCCACTCTGCGGCTGCTGAAAGCGTCCAAACCGCTCTCAGCATGGTATTGAACTGAAAATATCACGCATCCTTCCGGCCACCAAGCTTTGCGGAGCAGCCCGAAAAGCGTGCCACATAGCAAATCCCAAGCCGTACCAGCGACACGCTCTCTCGGAAGGACCACCGGCTCTTGCTAGGCACTCAGTGCTGAAACGCAAAACGTCTGAGCACGATGTAAATCGCGCTGAGTCATCCCTTCTGCAGATCATCGCACGATTTTGCTCCGCCGGGCCTTCGTTGCACCCCTGCTGTGAAAACTGCACGTCTTCAGAAAATGCAGCTGGTGGTTGATGGAAGTCTTGCCTCATCCTACCGCCTAGACTCTTAGTCCTCTTGAGCTGCACACTGTCGCGCTGCAACACGGGCCATGTCATCCATCAATCACCAGGGTGCTGAAAATTTCTGGCACCCATGGACTTTGCCCAGTTTCGGCACTGTCCGCGAGCCCCCCCCTAAATTTCATTCAATCATCTGTGTTAGTAATTCGTGACGCATTGCAAAAAAGTCATGGCATAACAACAGGCTGCGAGGTTGTCACAAGACCGCGGGTTTCGCAGTGGTCTAACAAACATGACCAAGCATGTATGCGCCTCAATGTCTCCGGTGCTCCAAGCACGCACATTCCTGGAGATCAGTTTCTACAAACAGCTGCTGGTTCTTTGGCTGACAAAGGCGATGAAAATTGCATGTGTAACAGGCACCACCAGCATTTTCAGTTGATCGGACAACAGCTAGTGCATCATGCACATGAGACGCAGTCCTAGCCGTGCTCTCGTGAGGGCCACATCCAGCAAATGTTCGTCCTGCCGTGGCTGTGAGATAGATAGTTGGTACTGTCTTTCTGTGCAAGATTCTTTTATGTTTTCGAGCGCGGATTTGCTTGCCGACGTTACGCACGAATTTGTGCAAGGAACTCTTTCGATAAAATCTGCAAGCCTACCTGCGAGACAACAGGGCCATGCAAATAAATCCGCGAATGATTCGTTGCCCAGACAGCCAACCATAACAATGGCTGAATCACGAGCAAGTGGCACAAATGTATCACACGAAGAGGCAGCAAGCATGGGGGACTTGTGGGGCAAATCTTGCTGCGGCAGTCGTCTACCCAACATGGCTATGTTTTCAGGACATCATGTGTGTGTAGTCAACGCACTGCATTTCCATGTCAAGGGCCCGTTGTTTACTCTGGAACTATGTCTGAGCTTACCCCAACTGCAGATGCTGGCACCTCTAAGGCACCAAGGCCACCAGGCGAGCTGCGCACGGTTGACAGCAGAACATAGTCCCATTCCTCGGGCAAGCGTCGTCTGAGACTACGCTCGATTTTTCTCTGTTGGGCTGAGGCGACGGACGCATTTGAATTACATCGTCTGTCAATTGCAAGCAGCGTGTAATAACTCAGCTCGACATGCTGACGTGGGTAAACCCTGGCGCCTGTTTGCCACATCTTCGTCAACATGTGCGTCTGATTGTGTCTGTCTGAGTCTGAGCGTGTGCATGTGTGTGTGTGTGTGTGCGCGCCTCTTTGTTTGTTTGTTTGTTTGTTTGTTTGTTTGGGTGCGTGCATGTGTTGGGTGTGTGGATGGGTGGGTGGAATCGGGGGAAGACAAAGGCAGCAACGACACACTCACAAAGCTTCAGCCGACCTGCACGCACAACATTATGCAAGCTGAAGCAAGTGCCCGCCACACACCACCAAACAAAACCAATCGCCAAAGAAAGCTGAAGATAGTTCTAAAATGTTCCAGGGATCATTCACCATTTTGACTGTGTCGGTCGAGTTTAAAGGATGTACCGGAGATCCGTGCTCATCCGCGTTTACAGTGGAGTGTTCCAATTGCAGCGCGCACAGACACGCATGCATGTGCATCCTTTCCAAGAGAAGAAAAGTCAGAAACACTGGGACGATGGCACGCTTGACATTTGACGTGTGCGAATGCTTATATCAACGTGCCAGGATTCATTGCCCTGAGATGAAACAACACCGCCAACGTGAATCGAAGTCCCGGCGAGTGCCTCGCTCAGTTGCGCCACCTGCTCAAAGGCACCAGAGGCGGTCAATAAATGCTAATAACCAGTGAAGAAAAGTGCTGTCAGGATGCACCGTTCTAGCCTGAGACACACTGACACATTGCAAAGTACTTCAGTATCTTCAGTGACCATTTCCGGGCCTGGGCGTTGTACCAGGTAAGTACCGCTACCTCAGCAATGCAGTGCAGTACTCACAAGCCGCCAGGGTCTCTGCTGCCTCACACATCCTCCAGCAAGATCCAACAATAGGCGACAGAGAATGCTGCTTTTTGCAATCTGGACTGACAAGAATCAGTGCAATGTTGCACAGGCTGATGCCTGGTCATTTTGTTTGTAGAAGTAATGATCCTGTTTGGAAAAACTCTGCAGCAAGGACAGGTCCCCATGCGCTGCATACGTGCGGCTCTGTTGTTGGGAATGTTGTGTCCACAGCATTCCACAACCAAGACCCGGATGAACCATGATTGCTGAAACGTGGGCTGATTGTGATGTACAGGCAGTGTCCGGCTAGATTTCGAAAGGGAATTCGCCCTTTACAAAGCTGCAGCCTGTCACAGCTCGACACGAGCGAACATGCAAAAACGGCAGGCCCTTCTGGCAAACGAGGCACACGGCTGTCGCCCACTTTGGCTGCCAGCGAGCGTGCCAGTGCTGCAGCACGCAACGCCTGCATGGTTTTCATGGCAATTAGCATGAGGCATGGACAAAAAACATCCAAAACTGCAGCAGAAAACACTCTGTGGAAGGGATCTACTGACATCCTCTGAGGCATTTGCGCTAGCAGAACGTGGGTCGGCTCTCAAGAGCTGAAGATGAGACACGCCCGCGGACAAAGCCGGCCTCTGCCGGGTTGAAGCGGGACTTCGCGCTGGCAGCTGAGCTTCGAACTTGTGAAATCCTGGCGGAGCTTTTCAGGGACAGATCTGTTTGATTGTGATCCAGCTCTCTGAATTTCACATATTCCAGCGCCTGGCACAGCGTTCATGGACTCAGGCCATTTTTCTCTTACAGGGAGGTAAATGCTGCCGCGAACAACCCCAATATCTCCCGCAATGCACACCCCACACTGAACGGGTACTGCGGCGCGTTCCACCCACGCAGTCCATACACACGGACAATTTTTATCTCCGAAAGAGTGATGCACCAAGCAAGTGAACTGCATTGAACTGCACTACCGCGTCTCAGCCGAGGCACTGCTCCGAAGGTCCGCCGTGAGACGACCAGAAAAGAAACGGTCTCGAGGTCATCGGCCTATGGTGCTCACTGAGAAACTATGCTACCCAGAAAGACTTGTTCTTGATATCAGACGGTGTCTTGACAGCATCATGCGCCATAAAGCTGAAACGCATGTGCTGTCCGGCGAAAGCTCAACAAGGCACCATTTCCACTTCGTTCTGTGCCGTCCTATTGGGAGCTTCTGCTTCCGTGTACCATGCTTGTAATCCTGCACAGTGCAGTAAATCGAACCAGGTGAATTGGGTTTCACACATGACTGAGTCGTCTTGTTCGAACGGAACAGCTTTCGCGGATGACATCAACTCGAAGCAAAACCAGCGATGTCCCTGCAACAAACTTCTCGGGCAGTAAACCACGGCTTCGTCTTCGAACGCTGAAGTCCACTGCCGTTTGCACCCAAGCGGCCGTGTCGGGTGTGCCAAGCGTCCAGGCCGGCGAGCGAGAACAGCAGGATCCTGAGTGCGGAAACTTGCAAGGCTGCCTCCACAATGGGCCGCAATGACCTGAACTCTCGAATCGCCATCCTGAGAGTTGCATCGACAATGGGGTGCGTATGCATGGAGATGAGGCAAACCGGAGCAACTCACCCCACTGTCAGGCCAGGATTATACCACAACGAACATCACAACCCGGAACCCCCTATTTAAGCCGCACATATGGGATTCCACCCGGCATGCGCTTCGGGCTGTTAAACTGCTCGGAGACTCTGCGCCCTGCAAACTTCCCTCGCTGCCCTCCGCTTCATGCCGTGACTCAAGCAGGTGAAAATTTGCGACGGGAGCTCGGAAGATTAAGCACCCTGAATAAGACCTGTTAGTGCGCTAGCAAGTCTGCTGGATACTGTAGGCATCTGTAGGTTCTAAAAATCACTTGGCGACACTTGAAGAAGCCAAGGGTCTGTTCTGACACGGCCGCCATAGAAGTATGCTGCCGGAAACTCATTCAACTCCTGACAGCATTACACCTGTTTGCACTGCAACGGCTGCTGCATGACCGAACCAGTTCAGAAAGGTATACCGACGGTGCCGGCTCACCATGTCTGTCCTCGTGCATTCGATACTGCAGAGACAACAGCCTCGTTCTGCAGGGTCTTCTCGTCTCAAGCTAAAGCTTCCACCCCCTCGTGCCGAACTAACGGCCTCCCTGCTACGGCTGAGTGAGCTGGCTGCCGTAATCAAAACTTCGTGCTGTTCTGTGCTCTTGTTTCCAGATTCATTGCCTACAGAAGCACGTGCTGCACAGGCCGCTTTCTGGCACTGCACTACGCCTTTTGTCGTTTGTGTTGCAGCCTTGTGGACAGCCCCAACACTTCTGGATCGAGAGCAGAAAGACAGGGGCAGGTAAAAAGTAAAAACTTACCATACAATGAATCTCATAGCCATCGAGCGATGCGAACACAGGTTGCCAGCCGTGGCCTCTATTGAGACATGGAGCCATGCTTTGTTTTGACTCTAATCGTTCGCACACGGATGCAGGCATGCAGCCTGCCGAAACCCCACGTCGCTTGTTCTGGAAGCTTGGGATATTGTCTTGTGGAAGGTTGGGGAGCTACTTCTTGCGAAGGACATCGCCATTCCATCTGCATAGGGCGCCTCCGCACCTAAAACTTGACACGAGAGCTTTGCCCCCATTGGGCATACGAGTTTGCATTGCGCTGGATTAGAACCTCTGATAACCACTGACAACGCCGACGTGATGTTTCAGTCGTCCGCAAGACGCTTCTGCGATTGCCAGCCTTCGACAATCGAAGTATACTGTATGGCTAGTAGCGGCTAGCAAGTCAGTCTGCAAGGTGTCGAGGTCCCACTCAGGATCGTGCCGAGGCTTACCAGCAGGCGCGTCGCTCAAGCGCTCCTCATGCAAAGTGGCGAGTCACAAATCACTTGACACCTGTGCAGCGAAAAGAAACGAAGCCTTCGATGTAGCAAGTGTGCTGCCGAGTGGCGAGCAACGATATGTTGAGACCCATTCTCTCAGCCTGTGGGCTGACAACGATGGGCCGAAGCCTTTGGTCAGCACATAGAAGATCCATATCAAGAATGACATCCATGACATGCAGCATTCCCCTCTTTAGCTGTTGCTTCCTGTGCCGCTGGTCGCACAGGACGTTTTGTGCCTGTGGCAGAAAAACCGCCTGCTTGCTCACATCACCAGATCTGGTCTCATGATGGTCTCATAGATCCGGATAATTGGGAACGCTTCGCGTTGTCCTCCTGGGGGGAGTTGGGGTGGGGCTCCGCCAGAGGCGGGGACGAAGAGGAGGGGGGGGATTCTGTGGGAACCTCTGACCGCTTCGGCCTGGGCCGAGGTGAAGTAACGCGAGCGATCCTCGGAGCCTTTCTTGCTGTCTCATGCCTGTAACTTGCGCGGTATCCAGTTGCCGGGAACGATAACGCCAGGTGAAGCACGTGAGGGATCGGTGCTGGCGGCAGCGCTGACAGATTTATTCATGGGAAGCATGACAGGGAACATGCTAAGCGACGAGCCACAAGTCCACAAGAATGGCCCCCCTGGCTTCCTCCGCACATGTTGTTTACAAAGCTTTCGTGTAGAGGCTTTTGAACGATCTTGCCGCGTTGATGCATGCTTCCTGAATCTTCCTGATGTCAAGATTTCATCTTTTGCCTGATGAAGCTTCATGAGGCACCAGGATCACCAGGGCCACCACGCCTCTGTGGCTCACTACTGTCTTATGAAACTGCATCTTCCGGTACGGCCTACAGGCAGTGGGTAAGCTCTAATGCTCCGAATGACATGGCCGCACAACGCCGTGGAGGGCGCTCTTGTTGTCGTCTTGTGGAAGCAGTCAAGACCACGGCAGTAGTAGGGTTCAGTAGAGTGACATCGGGAAAGAAGCATATAAAATCACATAAGTCACAGCTTTCGTCAGCCAAGGTCAGAGTCTGGTAATTTCAGGAAGATTCCGGAATATCGCAGTACTTCTTCGGCAGGGCCTCACGAAACGGATTCGGTCTTGTGCCCTGGCCATTCCTGCACGGCTGCATCCTCCAGGTTCCTAAGATTCCCCCTGTCTTCGGCCTTTGCCCGACCTCTACCTCCAGTGTGTGCTAATTTCTCGCACATGATAGGCTTCTGAAGGAGAACTCGTCGAGTTGTGGAGGAGTCTACTCGAAAATCACATCTCTGCAAGTGCCACGACTGCCACGAATCATACACGTTGTGCCGGGAATAATGCCAAGAAAGGCGACGGCCTGCTAAATTGAAGCAGAACCGGAGATGAAAGCTCGATGCTGTGGACAGCATTAGAGCCGGCCAAGATTTTGCCGGGGTGCTGCTTGGGGTCGCCGACCATGACGATCTTCTTGGCGTTTTTCGCCTTGCACAGACTACAGGATTCCATGTCAGATACTCACTACGACCAGCTAGACCGTCGCCAAGTTGAAGCTCGGTTTGAAACAACGCAAAGCAAAACAATACTGCCAGGCACAACCATCTAAGCGGCCAGTGTCATAGGGCAAAGTGCTTCTGGTTCTGGGGCCTGTCCAGCCTCGGAACGTTGCATATCGGATATATCGACTGTATCTGCATGCAAAGCTACGTCATGATCAAAGACAAATCAGCAAGCTGGTCGGGACTGCTGCAAGCACCTCGCCTCGTCCAACACCACCTGCAGTAGTTCTGGCGCTCCAGGTGCCTGGCAGTGTTCTTGCGCCAATCAGTGCCGACTTTGTCGTCTTTCACGAGACCTAGCCAACCTAGCTCTTTGCTATGCCTTGTAGCCTCGTGAGAACCTATGAGAAGCTACCAGATCACAATACTTTCATTCTCGTCGTGCTCGATCGAGATGGCGTGGCGACACAGCATACACGGTCGCGCCTGTAAAGCAGCTGCCAATCCACCACGTCGTGCAGATATGCACGTTGCGAAAACCTGCAGAAAGTACGAAACCCAGAACTGATGACGTGTCTCGAAGATGATTTGAGTCTCTCAAGCTGAACCCAGGAGGAAACCACTACTTCACATGCCCTCTGAATTGCCGACTCCATACACAAACAAGATCGTCCCTGGGTGCACGGATGCTGACGTCAACATCGCAAGTTTACCTGAGGTCTGCGCCACATCCGTGCGGCGCAGCTCTGCAGCACGAGCGGCTGAAAGAGCCAAGTAGTATCTGGCAGACACAGCTCAGGGGATCAACTATACAAATGTGTCCCGCGCATCTGCACAGCAAGGACATGCAAGGACTGTCTGCACTGCTCTCTGTCTCTGCCAGAAGCTGCAAAGGCGCTCTGTGCGAAGCTCGTCGAAGAGAGGGCTGCTGAGCCCGGCCTGCAGCCTGAGCAGTTGGACAATCGAAGCGGGCGAAGTGCTATGCTCTGCTCGCTGCATCCCAGCATCATTCGTTCGTAGGCTGCGCCTGCCTCCAACGACTCTGCAGTCGGCTCCACACCTTTGATCTTCGAAGCATCAACAAAAACGAACCTCACGTGCTCTGCCTCTTGCCGCCTGAAGCCAGTCACACGGAGTGCCTAACGGGCGACGCTCGCAGGTGAGAGTGGCCTGGTGCTCGGCCGTGGCAGCGCCAATGCAAAGCAAATGGGCGCATAGCCTGCAGCAGAATCAGTAGAGAAACGCAGCAGGTCACGCCTGGACACAAAACAGCCAAACAAAATCCGAAAGGCTGCAGCCTCGGACACTGTCTTCACCTTTCGCGGCTTTGCACTAGGGTGATCAATCCTTTTGGGCACCTAGGTGCCGGGGCTGACACAATCACGCGCTGGCACACACTGGGACAAACGATGCTGAAAGCAAATGTGATGCCCCGCAAAACCCAATCAATAGCATACATGCACCAACAAGCTGGTGCCAAGCATCACGGAGACAAAAACCTGCATCGCAGTCGCACATCCATTGCATGACATTGTGAACTGCAGCTGCGGATAGTTGATCAATCCACCCTACCCCCTGTGCATCACGCATCGTTGCATCAGGTATGCGCACCGGGGCAGGTGCATTTGCTGAAACATGCTTTTGAAGCGCTGGCTACAGTACGCAAGTGATCTTGGCACAGCCACGCTCACTTGCTCAGTTGTTCGAGACCCGTCCCGATTGCCCGGGTCTGCACCCAGTTGGGATCAGAAAGCATTGTGACACTCCCATGCGAACTTATGAAAATTATGCACTGTGTGTGTGTGTCTTTCTCATTTGGAAAGGATCTCCACTGGAGCTGCGTGGATGCGCCCAGCTTAGAGCCACAAGCATAAGTAGTGGTAGGAGCATTTAAGGGACAATGTGCAGCTGAGCTCGAGCGCAGGAAAATCGCCCCGCTCCATCTCAGCACTGTAGACTCGAAGTGCTGTTAAACCTCCGGGAAACGCAAAATCAGTGGGAGACATTCACTGACCATCAATACCTGCCTCCCTCAGATTGGCGCAGCGGGCGACGACAAAGCGGACAAGTTGAGTTCCTGTAGAACCAGTCGCTTTGCGCTCACCATAGTCAAGCAGCAAGAGTAGCGGCAGAATCTGATCCGTCTGCATTCATGAACAAGCCAAGTGGGAAATCCCGATCCCTGCAGCACGAGCTTGTTCCAGACAGCTCCGGTGAAATTGATGACCACAAGCCTCCAATGCACGAGATCCTACTATGCAGCCATGCAGGAGGAACCTGTTGAGGCATGCATGCAAGACAGGCCGGAAATAATAGTGAACACTTGAGTCACCACCCAATGGTTGCTTTGCAGCATATTGCGGCCACTCTGCAGCCAAAACGCAGTGATGACATCGCACGAGCCATTGAAGCAGATCGGACAGTCCTCGCTGGTCCCGGCCTTGCGCTTGCAACATATCGGATCACAGAAACACACAGGAGAGGCAACCAGCCAAAACCACTCCCCTACGAGCCGAAGCGAAGCTGTCATCTTTCGACCATGTTGAGATCAGCAGCGGCAACGACTTCTTGGCGCCGCTTTGTGGCCAGGGCCTTCTTGCAGTGGCAAACATGCGGTTCAAGTCCCTGCTTCACTGATATCTCGCGGAACGCTCAATACTTCGCCGCCTGATGCAAGTAGCTTCACAGCTTGCAAACACTGTCAGAAGCTGAGCCGCCCCCAGCGGTTGTTGCGTGTTCCCTTTACGGAAAATTTCCAACTTGTCGCAGACCAGCTGTCCTTTCCGGCCTAGTTTCGGGGAACTTCCGTGGTCGAACTTCCTTCTAGGCGAGCTTGTACTTCCCTTGCTTTTTTCGCACAGCTTTCATGGAATTTCCGCGCAGTGTAGTGTTCACTGAACCTCAAACTTGCAAACATGAAGCACCTAGCGTGATGTGCTCCCGGCACTCTTTGGCTTTCACCCCAGCATTGTTGACCTCTCGTCAAAAGCGTATTCCTTTCGTGCCTTCCTTAGCTCAAGTTCTGCGCGCCCCAAAACTCTATCCTTCTTAACTTCATGTAAGAGTTAACACTCTCCCCCAGCGATGAGGCGACACTTGAGTCAGCCAAATCACCCAAATTTCTCCTTCAAGCCGATTCTCAATGTGACATGACGAAAACGCGATTGCTTTTGGGCCGTTCCTTACCGGATCGTTCAGGATGAGTCTTTAAACCAACTTAGAACTCACCCTTGCAAAACCACTTCGACATTGAGGTGGAATCGGCGCATGCAGCTTGCTGCTTGCTTGTACACTAACCTGCCGAGACTGGCGACGGTGCTTGGATCCGACCTTTGATTGGCGCTCGGACACCTTTATGTCGCGGCCTGGAAATGCCTTGCCGATGATTCAGCAACGCGGAGGCAGGCAACGTCAGCAGCATCATTGCTTGGCGTGCAGTACCTTTGCACTCCCTACTGCTGAGACATTGACCAACATGACATCGTTCCGGCAAGGGTCTCGTCTATACAAGTCGGATAACAGCTGTTGCGACCAAGTCACAAAACGGCTGCCACTTGACCACAGTCAAGATTCCACAAAGCATACAGCACGCCTCGGTCACTGCCGGCTTAAAAGCTTCCACAATTTCCACGCAAAGCTGGTTGTTGCAGATACTGTAGGCTGGTGAATCTGCCATGCCTTGAGCCTCTGTGACACCAAAAAAATATTACTTTGTCAGCCGCTCGAGATGCAGCTTAGCTGCACAGTGCAGCGGCTGTAGTGGTTTTGCCAGTTCCGGGAGGGCCGTGGATCAGCGACAAAGCATCCTGGAGCGTGACAAGGTTTCCTGCTCTTCAAGGCTCCACGATGCTCTAAGATTGAATCTGTCAGCATCTGCTCCTCTAAGGAGCCACGAACCGCCGCTTCCTGAGGAGGATTCAAGCGCCAAGGCTTCAGGTCCATGCCTGAGCAGCGATGCTAGCTCATTAAAGCAATTTGACCAAACATCGGCGCCCAGTCGCGCAGGTCAGCGCCCGCTCGTCTTCAAACACCGCAGCAGTGCGGTGGAGAAGGACAACCGGGAACTTAAAATCTCTCCAAACTAACCGGTATGATCCGATATGCATCATAAAAAGACTCTCACAAGAGGCCATGACCGGCTTTCAGCCGCTTCTCAGAAACGGGACTACCAGAGCCTCGGACCGCTGCTGCGACCTGATGCCTTCACCTGCGACCTTGTCGATGGCTCGTACTCGACCCGCTTCGACACTATCTAGTCTTGTTGACATTGCTTGAAACAATTGTATTCTAGAAGTAAACGCTAGGAGGCTACGAGTACAGTGTGCGAAACTGGACTACTGTTGACAAGTCCAGAATCATAACAGGACAGTGCAGGTAACCTTGAAGAAGCCGCGGAGTTCTTACGTTCACAGAACAGGCAATGCCTGTGAGCAGCCTTTGCATGTTAAGAACTCGTCGCTCAGTGATCGCTGCGATCCTTTGAGCTCGGACTGGAGCTAAAAAGACTGGCAATGGCAGATCTCGTAAACAGCAACTCCGGAACTGCTGGTCATGACTCTTTGCAAAAGCCTAGCTTCACGGTGGGGGACGGGTTCATGAGGGTCAAGCAAATACATCAAGGTTAAGGAATCTTCCATGAACGCGTTGGACGTGCGAAAACTATGTGTGGCATCTGCTAACCCAACCTCGCGTACTGCAACAACAACAAATTCCAAACGAGCAGGGTGATATAAGTGTATATATATATATATCTCTCTCTCTCTCTCTCTCTCTACTGGACCAGCATTATGAACTGCTCATCATGAGCAACCACGCGGACTGCAAAGGACCACACTGCCTGCAAGACCTGAAGCTTGGAGGCCGGCTCTTTGCAAAAGACTCCTGCACTTCCGAGTGCCAGGAAGCCTTCCAGGAGCTGAATGGGTCTGGCATCGGGTTGCAAGAGTGCTGCGGGCTTTGCAAGGTATCGATGACTCAGGAGACTCTATCCCGCCTGGGCAGGTTGTGACTTACTTATTCTGGCTCTAAGTCTCGACCTTTTCCAGAGGCTGCCTCGTCGTCAAGGCATCGCTGCGCAGCCGCAGGGCCAGGGCGGCCGGGGCGGCCGGGGGCTGGTGCCCTGGCCTGAAGGACAACCTGACGCAAGTCGTCAAGCCGAGGATGGAGCTTTCCGATGGTACGTCTGACTCTACACCCAATCAAAACACTTTGGGAAAGAAGCCATCCAGAGGGGAGGCATCTGTGAATGGACAATAAGCGTGATTTGGAAAGCTTTCGACTTTCCCTCGTGCAGACTTGAAGTCTGTGGGTCATTCACAACAGGAGGACAATGGCGATCCGTGCGAAGTTCATGCATGTCTCTGTGGTCGTCCTCCATCTCACCCCGCACGCTGTTGGAGCTACCTCGAAACGTCCCCTTCTTGTCCACCCACAATCTGCTCAACCGAGATAGCAACAACCCAGGCGGTCAAAGAAAGAGCGGCCAAACGGGTAAATGCGTGATGAGTAATCCACGCCCGAAGCCGTGAGGTCCACCCCACCCACATTCAAGCAATCATGAGCACCCACAGCATATTGCTCCAAGCGTTAGAGCAAGATGTGCACACGTTTGCCACGAGAACACGGCACGACAAAAAACAGGCAAAGGAACGAGCATGGCCAGCCAGGCCCCATGGTTGCGAGGCTACGCCGCAATGAAATGTTGCAAGTTTGTTCGAGTCGTACTTCGGAGCCACATCCTTGCATGTTGCTGCCTCCCGGAGCAGCGGAGATGCAGAACTCAGCTCTGCCAGTGCCACCGCCATGCAGCTGTATGGCCTTCTGTCATGCAGCGACAGAAAGAAGACTAATTACCAAGTGACTTCAAATTCAAAGCCTGCCCTGCGAGAGATATTTGATATTTGGATACAGCATGCAACCACACTCTTGGTTTGGTCCACAGCATCCGAAGGTCAAACCAACTGCTTCAACGGGCCAGGATGCAGCGATTTCGGAATGAACTCAATTAGGTAGCCAGTTTTCCTCACGAGCTGCTTCGTCTGTGGAACCAAACGTCACAGCAACATCTGTGTTCTGTGTCCCGCATATTTGCTTCAAATGTAAGCAGACGACAGGTCCTGATTCCGGGCATCCCAGACGAGTCTGAAGCACCAGGAACCATCTGGAAACTGATGCCTCGGACGAAGGGGAGAGGCGCCGTAAGCAATGGCCTCACTTTAGAACTTGGGGGGCTGCATTTCCAAGCTGAGGAAAGACGAGGCCAGAAGCATGCACTCTCAGCTAGGGATGCTCGCGTTCCTGCTTGTGCGGTCTGCAGTGAGTATTTAAGGTATAGCCAAAGCTGAACGTAGCTGAAGTGTATCCGGAATGTCTCAGCTGGCTGTGGGCTAACCCTAGCCCTAAACCCACATAAATGCAACGCAACACAGTGCAAACAAGACACGAAGGGACATCGTCTGCGGAATTTGAGCATCCTCCACGACTCCACGTCTCATGGTAACTTCGAGTTGCAGCTGCATGAACCTCCAATTTCCCTTCAGCAACGTCCTCCTCACCAACAACGACCGCCAATGGCTGAGCATTACCGTCGTCACCGACGAGATCAGCATCTACAATGCCTTCTCAGACGAGCTGCGCTTCAAACCGCACTGGCCCTATTGTAAACTATGGGGAAACATCTGGGTGACCGTGTCATTTCTGCAATAGCAAAGTCCCGGGAACGTTTGCGATACGCAGCGATGGTCACATGTCACGAGCCGCCTGCATGGCCACGCCAACCGATACCTCCGCTGCTTTGCTGCGCGGGGAGGCGCAAACACAACCAACCAGAACTCCACTCCGTCGGCCCATCTTCTCCTGTCGGAAAATACGATCTGTAAGCCAATCGCTGAACTCTGCTGCTCGTAGGAAATGGCGGCCTCGAATCAAGCCGCGCATCTTCATTCGATGCGCTGATGCAAGAGCGCTGGGCACCACGAAGGAGCCCACCCCTGTGTCACCTGAAGACAGCCGCTGTGAGTGACACACCCATCCAACTTTATGCCAAATCATGCGCATTTGGGCAATTTGGAACAATCAAGCTGCTACAGCAACGAGCGCTAAAGGAGGAGCTCCGAAGGGAGAAGTGGCAATAGCAGGCAAAGCGCTGAATGCAAACAGCAACATCATGAGCCGAAGATAGCCGAGTAGAACCAAGTCATGCAGCATGATGAGAGTGCGGATCGAGGGCTCGGATGCTGCAGTACGTGCATCGCAGCTGTTAAGGCTGCGGCTCCATGTGATCTCGACATTGGAAAGGATTCTGGTGTCGTCTTCATCTGCAGCACTTGCTGCAGCCTGAGAATGAAGACATATTATTGAAGACGTTCTGGTTCTTCCTCTTCCTTCAGAGCACCTCCAGCTCAACTGCAGGCCGCCAGCTAGCCATGTAGTCTGCAGTGCTGTCCCAGTTTACCACCTGGTGCAACAATCAACAAGGTCCTCGCGCTTGCTGCTGAGTTCTCTCATTAACAATCACTGACACGGAAACTGAAGACCATCAAGTCAAGACATGCCACACACACACCGCTGGCCCAATTCAGGGAGATGTCACATCTGGTTTTATGCCAGAATTAATCACAAAGCAAGTTGCAGATTCGAAAAAACAAGCCGCTCGAGCGAGTGACCAAATAGAAGGACTCTGGCGAACTCTGGCGTGATGTACAGTGACTCCGCATTCTTATCTTGCATGCTTATACTGTGCTTGCTCTGTCATTGCTCTGTAAAGATCCTGGTTTTCCAGGGCTCAAGGCTTTGCCTGCACCAATCAAAGTATTGGGTCTTTTGCCGCCCCCGCCCCCCCCAATGCCCAACGATCCACGATACCCTATCGTCTACTATGAGCGCATGCTTCAGTCATACAACTCCAGGGCTGCCAGTTAGCGAGGCATCTTGCACGATGCTGGCCGTCCGAATGATAACATGTGCAAAACTCAGAAGCAAGTCCCACACTTCTTCACCTCCCCGCTTCACTGATGCGGCTGACCCCGGCAACGATTGGGGGTGAAAGGAGAGGAAACCAACTGAAACATATATCATTCAAGCACAGCGCAGCTCACATAGTCTCCCCTTCTTTGCCTTTTGCCTTCAACCAATGCCCTGAAGCTAGAGTGCCAGCGAAACTAGCGCACCTCGCTGGCGGCAGGCATCGGGGCTGCTGCAGCAAGCAGCGCCTTTCATCCCGCCGGGCTTCGTTAAAAAAGTGCAGCGCGCGATGCTGCTGAGGAGCCTAGCGATACCCAGAGGCCGCGGTGCGGCTACGGGTAAGGCTGGGCCAGCCCGCAACCCTTATTCTAGGACGGTGCAGATGTTGCCGGCGGGTTGACGCGTCGCACAGTGTCCGCAAGACTGTGGTTCGCCAACCCTGCACAGCTTTCCCGCTCTGACGACGCCATTGCGCTTGAACTCCTGATCGCCCTGTCAAGGTGCCGAGTAATCCCAACGCTTGATCTGATGTTCCCCAACTCAGAGCTAGAACCATCACCAACAGAAAACCTCCTTTTGCTGGCATGTCATGAGGAAAACAAGTTGGCCTCGGAAATTCGAGTCGGATCACGAGAGCTCGATCGGCATTTTGGCTGCAAGCCACAAGCCCTTTTTCATAAGGTTTACCGAGGCACTGCCGTGTCGCAGGGTGTAGCAAGAAACAGGGCGCTGCAGCAAGTTTAGAAGCGTGAAGGTGACATGTCACAAAAGACGTCGTTCTGCCTCCGGACAGAAACAGTGAAGTCCAGTCTCTGGCCGACGATGGTCTAGACCTTCGCATTTCGTGCGTGACGCAGGTCCGTCGAAGTGTGCAACCCCAGCATGCTCGAGGTGTACAGGAATCTTGGCCCAAACAGGTTCAATGATCGGCTCTGACTCGGAAGAGGCCATCAAGCACACTGCACTCGCCCACTTATGTAGCTGACTCCACTCTGGAGCTCTACGGCAAGCCTTCCGCCTCTTACAGTATGCAAACGCCAGCACAAGAACACATGGGGGCCGTACACAAGCAAAGCTTGTCAGTGAGCACCAGCGCTCGCACCTCATGCTCATCTGCCTTATGTCAACGGCACATCATCTGGCTGTGGTGGGGAGGGTGGCTGCAGCCAACTTCAATACAGCAACCTGGCCATCTCTCAGTTGACAAGGTCCGACTTGAACATGAAGAGGTAGGCTCCGCTGCAAACATATCTCCACGGTCAGAATCCCTCGCAGTAAAGCAAGGAAGAGCGTGCATGGCAAGTCCCTTGCGAACATGCTGCCAGACCAACCTAAATTTGTAATCTCGGTCCTGGCAGCAGCTTCGTCTGCACCCAATTGCCGGCACCGTCAGTCAAGTGCCTGAGTAAGGCGAATGGGTTGAGCCTCTGAGCAGCACAAGATATAAAACGGTCTGGCAGTGACAACAGCGCCAAGGAGGCAGCGACGCATTGACCCCAGCCGGCTCGGAAAGCAGAGCAACCCGACTCAGCTGCGAACAGCAGGTTCTTGTTGCCCGCATGGAATTCAGTGGGCTTAGCACCTTCTCAGCGCAATGGCAGGCGAGAAGCTGATCAGAAGTTTCATCCTCATAAAGGAAACATGTGCTTGCCATGGGCTTTTTGCTGAGGACAGACGTGTTCATAGTCAGTCTGCTACATGGACGAAGGAATCAACGAAATCTGAAGAAGCACGAAGACTTACACCTTAATTCCTGATCGACAGAGTTCCTCATCGCGTTTGGATGTTGTTCTGGGCTTTCTTCGGCTAGCATGCTGCTTCATCCAGTCCAATTACCACAGAGCACACGTGGAGAAGGGAGCAGCTTGCGAGAGTTGCGAAAGAGCACGTCAACGACTTTCGTACACTGCATGAGCCTCCAGGCCTCGTTCTGATGCACTGCACTATCCGGGTTCCAGGCGCAAATCGACCACATGGAAGCGCCAGCGAACAGTGGCTTCTCGACCTACAGCGAATATAAAATCAATGAATGCACGCGCCGATGACGATGAGGCCGACAGGTCTCGCACCTTCACCCCACGATGGAGGACCAGCTGGGTGCAGTAAGGACCACGGCAGAAGTTCCACCTCTGTGACAAGCTTACCAAAGATTCTCCTCAAGGCACGGCGCTGTAGTGGCTGCAGTGTGGGGATTACACGATGCAGAGCATAAATGAGCATTGTTGCTGGCTGTCGCCGCTATGCCCAAATCACCCAGCATCGCCCAGCCTTGTCCCAGCTTCCACTCGCCGAAACGCCTGGCACAGCCACTGGCTTCTCAACGAACACATTGACGCTAGAAGTGTCAACGGCCCTCTTCCGCAAGTAGCTTCTCCGACGGTGGACAATCACACGCAACGCTGTGACATGCCTGCTTCAAAAGCCTGTCCATAGCTTGCCACGGCGCTCAAAGGTGAGAGCCCAAGCGCTAGGCCTTCGAGTCTCTTACGACACAGCAAGTGGCAAGTGAGCTTCCGTGACCAAGCAGACAACAACGACGTCAATGTGCATCGGAGTCATGTTGTGGTTTGCATCATGATCACTCTCCCGACTATCGCATTGGATGGGCAGCTATCAGCAACTGGCGAACTCCAAATTCATACGCTGTCTGTGGGCGCTGTGCAGCAATGCATCTGCACCAACCCTGCTCATCCTGCTCCTTCAAAAAGGTGATACAAGCTGCTCCATATTGAAAATCCATGTAGATTTGATTGCAGTGGCAAGGCCCACAAATCCTGACTGGCTTACGATATCTGGGCCTTCTCCGGACACATCCTTGACAGCTGCTACCAAATCACGTCCTGCGAAGGATGCTGATGGATGATGACGGGGATCTTGCCGAAAGAAAGTTGCATCGGAACTTGATCTTGGGCTAGTACGGCTTGGGGACGTTATGATTTTCCGCAGTGCATGATTCATGATCTTCCAGGGAAGTTGTTATCCGCGTCGTCGTAGTCGCAATCGTCGTCCAAAAACAAAAAACTCTTAACAACACATTCGGAACATGCAGAAACCTATGACAACGGACATTGACTCAACAAAAAAATCCTGGCGATGCTTTGCTACCAAACGAACTAGTTGATAACATAACGGCAGCTGTTTATGACCACGGTTTAACTAACCAACCACAACACCAACCTTGCAAATGATACTACTAGAGACTGAAGTGTTGCTAGTCTTGCTAGTATCTCTACCACACCAGCAGATGAACAATACACTGCAGTCGGTACAGCTTGTAATATTGAAAACCTGGGAAAATGTAGTCAACATGACGATGGCTACTCAGATCTCCTGCGAAGCTTGCGAAACATGTCAACATTGCTGACATTTCCCTTGACATCGCTTCATTTTCTGCAAAATGCTGACACCACGAACCTCCAGACAGTCTTCATACCACTTGTGCACATGTGTTTTCAATCGACGTCTGCCGTTAGTTACACAAGCATTGCATATCATTGCATGGGGTTCATGGTGGGGGACTCTGTGAAATACGTGTACATGCTGTATATACACAGATACACAGACATGCGCACGCACACAACTCCAGATATGACCCTTTGAACCAATATGCGCGCACACACACACACACACCCACACCTACAACCTGCACCTAGCTTCACAAGATGCGCGGGCCTGGGACACGAGCCGGCACTGCAGGCTTAGGCCGCCGGCCCAACTTCGGCAAACCTCCGTGCAACTTGCAACTGGTGCAATGCCCCAGCTTCTCACAGAGATCAGCGGGCCGCCTTCCAAGCTGCTGTCCGTAGTCGGCTTTCGAAACCGATACCGCAACCTCCAGGTGGCCATCACGGCTCAGGCTCGCACGAGGAAACGCGGTTAAAAGCTCTCGCAGCCGAGCTGCAAGTAAGGCACATTGTACCATGGAGGCTCGCGATCTTCGGCAAGGTCCTCTGCCATGTCCTCACAAACTTCAAATGCCGAGAAGATAAAGACATCGGTCCGGGTCGCTCCGGAGCCGTTACACCACGTGCCAACAGCAGCAGGTTAGCGCAAAGGGCGGAGCAAACCTTTGTACCCGTCCATGTTGTCGAGCGGTGTGCGGTCTTCACTGCAATTTGCAGAGGGCTTCGTTGGGTTTCCTAAGGCTTCGTCAAGACTTTCCTGGAACTTCCTCGCACCCCAGGACTTCATGAACCGTTCCAACAAGATGAACAAATAAATAAATGAATAAATATATATATATATATGTATATGTATACAGATGCATGTATGTATGTGTAGGTCTGTTTCAGTGTGGTCGGAAACCATGCCATAAAGCTTCACAGTGCTCTTCCTTTTGCGATTACCTTTCCCATGTGCTATGACTTGTGCAGATTCAACTCTAGTTTTATGTCTGTTCTTGCTCTTATCCTTCGTCTTGATCGTCACCCCAAACACGCTTATCTGAACAGCCGTGTCTGGCTTTCATGGTGATTATGATTATGAGTGCGAGGCAAATTCACTTTGACACAATCGATATAGTTGGAATCCGACAAATTACTCATATCTTCAATGTTAAGATTCTTAGTTAAGATGTCAAGATTAAAACTGCGCATTGATCTCACCGTAAATTACCAGTGCCTACACCAGCATGATGACTGGCATTTTACTACCTGTACCAGTATTGCATGCGGATATGCAAATGAGCCACGCATCCGGAAAACATCCTAATCCACAAATCCTACCCTAGAAACTGGAGAACCCCGGAAACAAGAATCAGCACAGCACCAAGAGTGAGTCCAGGAAAACGGACAATTCACGAAACCACGGCCAGAACAGCAAGGTCAACAGGACTTGGGGTTTGGCCTGAAAGCGGGATTGCATTCAGGCAATCTCAGATCTAATTCTGCTTTCATCCGTATGTGCCGCTGATGATGATACTTCCTCTTCGCGGAGAGGGAGAAGTGCTCCTAGCCCACCAGGCTACGATCTGGACCTTTCAAACACATTGGTCTGGCTCAACAAGTTGTTGGTTCTGGCTCCCAGGTGCCACAGAATCACTTACCAGTGGCCGAAAAAGTGCCAAGACTTTTTTCGAATGTGAAAACTGAAAGTCCAAACGTCTCCAAACCATCGTGCACTTCACCACGAGAACAGAACCCCTGCTCGACTGGACAGCAAACGACCCTGCCAACACTTTGGAAGCTGCACGCTGGTTCGGTACCAAAGTTGACTGCACACTTTATACGGCAAGTGAAGTGTCTCGAAGTGGCGGACCTCCCAATCCTCCACCACTTGCGGCTCTTCTGTGTGTGCCAGGAAATCCTCGCAAGGAACTCGATTTCTGCAAACCTCTTGAGCCGCAAACGGCGTCTCCTCGATATAAGCCAAGGCATCTGGAGCCTTGGCGGTGATAAGGCGCTGGAAGAACGGCGGCTTTGGGTTTAGCTTTTGAAGAGGTTGTCGTCTGGCGTGTCTGGTGTGGTGGGTGCTCCGCTCTGGATCGTGGTTTTTGTGAAGGATACCGCGACTCCTGATCCAAGGGCGCCACTGTCGGCGCGCAGTCCAGTGGTTTGGGCATCAAAATTCGCCGGCGTACTCATCAACTCACAATAGACGATATCCGTTTGCAGACCTCCGACAAATTTATCCTCAAACCCTAAACTGCGAACCCTCTGAAGCGTAGGCTGCTCGAAGAGATTCGACAAGTCGGTTGCTTGTGCGGCCATGCAGCTCCGCTGAGCCAAGACCTGGGCCTAGGCTCTTCAGAAAGAACCTGCAGGCAAACGCGCCGATTCAAGGCTGAGCTAGTTCCTTCATCTGCCCGCAGCGTCCATGCCTCCACTCCTTCCTCGTGAGGAAATGTCTCGATTGGTGCAGACCTCGGTAGACTTGACTTGACGTGCAGGATCGTGAAGGGCGCAAAGGACTGTGATGGGAGCAGCCGTTCATGCAAAACCAAGCCATCCGCAGTCGTATCCGCTGAGCATGTTGGCACTAGGTAAGAACATGACATCACCCGTTCCGACTGTAAGCTTGGGCTGTGGCAATGTTACTGCATTTCATTACCGCATCGGGAGACACAGCTGACGGACCGTTTTTGCTTAAAGTGCAGCTGCCACTGAAGCGAGGAGCAATGCGTCCGGCCGCAGCAGAGCATTGGTTTCGGCGGCGTCTACCACCGCAGATGGCATGGTCGTCTCCACGAACCCGGAGCTTGGCCTGGAAAACCACACAGAGACTGTGTGGATCTCCCGACTTTGCGGCCGAGCAGCCTGCTGCCATCTGCGTCAGCGTCATCGGGCGCACCAGCAGCAGGGGGGAGGAAGCTATGCTCAGGAGTCCTTACAAATCCGGCCAGATTGACGCGATCTTTTACTCCTCTCCTCCTCTCCCCTCCAAGCAAACAGACTGCCAGAAACATTGGCAGGGAGCAGCGATGATTTCCCGATGCACGCCAAGATGCTCGGACTGTCTTGGGCTTCTTCTTAACAGCTGTTCTGGGCGAAGGTCGGCAGATGCGCTCTCGGGAATGCTCTCGTCCACAGACCTGGTCGGCAGTGCGGCACTGAGGTGTTGGGACTTTGTTCGAGATTTACAGGGATGTCATTGACAGAATGCTGCTACGCTCGAAGCAAGATCATGCAAAGACTGAAGTCGTGAGGAGTGCCCTGAAAATTCTGGAATCATGTAATCTCGATTCTCGTCAGTTCACATTGGTCTAATTTCTATAACATGTATCGTCGTCCCCTAACTCCGGTCACATCAGCTTCTGGTTGAGCCCGGAGCTTCCCTGTCCATGCAGAAGCACCAGCAGGATCAGATACATCTCTTCCAAGGTCCAGGGTCTGGGGTCTTTGACGGATGATTGGGAAGCCCAAGCGCAAAGGGGTTCATCAGCAATGGCTGCGAGAAGGGAACTGAAGTTGCACCAATAGCGAAGGACCCGGACCCTGTCTCAGAGTCAGAAGCACACGAGAACGCCTGCCGAATGACCAAAAGCACACAATGCAGGTTTAAGTGACAATATTTCTCGATGACATGTGGCATACGCAGCTGCTGCGCAGAGCAAACTTTTCTTGCAGTACAGGGCTCACCACTGTGTTTCGGAGGTCTGAATTTGAACATACTGAAGCCATGTGAAGTCTGTTGCCCTCCTGCAAGCCACCACGAGCTCGGAAAGACAACCATGCAGAATTTCGCAACCAGTCTCGGTGTAAATTCAGGCTTGATGTCAGTGTAGCCTAACAGCGGATGATGATCCGTGAATATCCGTGACAGATTACACTCCGATCTACCTCTTAATGAGCAAAGAGCCGAACCTGTGTTGACACTGTTTTCAAGTGCAGTCCGGGTGCTGCGCTTGTGCATTCTGCCGCCGGTGCGCGCGAAATTCCACGGACCGGCGCACTTGGGGTCCGGGTCCAGCGTACCATTCCTTGGCTACTGGCAAAGGTTTCCACACTGCTTCGAACAGCGCCTCTGCGGCTGCAGGAATAAAACACCTCGACAGCTGTCTGCACTGAACGGGTCAGGAAACAGAATTCGAAAAGCCGTCTGCAGGATTCCAAGTTGGCCAACTTTGCCAAGGGCCAGTGCTCCAGGTCGGATCTTGAGTTTGGTAGTAACCGTACCCGTAGTTGCTCCAGCTGCCCCAAGCTTCGCTCTGGTGCCTATGTCTTTGCCGCCTGTTGCTGGATACATCTTGTCGAGCAAGCACGTCGAAAGCAGAAGGGGCTGCTTCGCTCGCCTGCGAAGGACGCACCACGCACAACAGAGAAGAAATCCTTCTTGAACACACCCTTGCGCTTGTCACTGCTTGTGGGCATCTAGCTCGGTGCCCCGTCAAAACGAGCTATGCTCGCTTTTTGAGGGAAGAGTGAGTTCAAGTCACTTGCACATCATCACGTGGGCTTTTTGGCGGTCATCCTCCTCAGGAATCCACTTGGGCTTCTCAGCAAATAGGATGAGCATCAGATTTTTGAATTGTGGTTTAGAGGGACTTCGTTAAGGGGGGATGGCAACTGGAGTTTGCTAGTAAGGGTTCTTGAGGATACTTGGTTTGGAGTCAACGTTTGAACTCTGCTTGCCCCGCCGCAAGCTTACCTGGCCTTACCAGCACTCACTAGCACTTACTAGCGCTCACCAGTCACTACTAGTGCTCACTGGCTCTCAGCAGGACAAGCTTTGGATGTCGCTGCTAAACTGTACTCGTGCTCACGAACACTCAAAACCAACGTTATGCCTTGGTGTGGATTGTAATCCTGACTAGGCCTTAGCAGGGCTGTGCCATCCTCACGAACAAATCAAACTACCAAGGCTTGCTAAGCTCTACTCTACTAAGGCTTGCCAGCATTTGCTAATGCTTGGCAGGCCTTGCTATCCAACCATCAGTTGATTCTGTTTGCAAACTCGATTTGCTATGCCCCCTCAGGGGGGTCCCTCTAAGTCATAGTTCCATTTTGAGGTAGTCGTGCCTCACAGCTGTTGTGTTTTGTGTTGCAAAGGGCCGTCATGTAATGCAGCAGCAAGTGTCGTATGCTCAGCTTCAAGTCACAGCTGCAGCTATGCAACTATGATCCTCATCTTTACACAACGCACCCGCCCTTTCCCCAACCAGTATCAGTAAGCATGCTCGGTTCGGGTGATTCCGTTATGAACAGACAGTTCTCGACAGGCTACGTCACATGACCACCATTGCTTGCTTGTGTTCTCGAACTTGGAAACCTAGGAAAACTCCCCATCGCGCGCAACGGCCCGGCACGAAAAGATTACAAATGCCTTCCAGCCTGCGATTGGCGATTCCTAAATGCATAGCGGTGTCAGAAATCCAGAGGCTGCAGAGCAGGATTCTTCTAGCCAAGGGAAGTAATTGGTAGCTCCGATGGCGAACGTCGACGAACTCGCCAGCGATTGGTGCGGGCATCGTTACCATTGCATTTATGCTGAAAACCTGATTGGGAGAAAGCACGCCGCTAGCACCCGCAAAATCTGCAAGTGCATGTTCGTGTTGAGCAGGGAATCTACGCCGCGACGCAACACGGAGCCAAACTCTATCAGTCGCCATGACAAGACTTGAGCGTCTCGGATCTCGGATCACCGTCACAGAATACAAAACTAGGTGCTTCTGTGATCAACTACCCGCCTCCTCGGCAGAGCCGTTCCCTGCACGTCGTGCTGGAAGATTGGGTTGATGCTCTGCCTGCCACATGCTGGTTCCCTGCAGTTCCCTGTCTTCTAACTCCAGAGTGAATACGACTATAGAGTAGATCATGTGTTCTCATGTCGCTAGGACGAGTGCACACAACAACTGTACAACTGCATACAGAAACACACGTGAAGCAGAGCTATTCTGCTTGTATCTCCAGAAGGACCCCGCAGATACAAAATTCCAATATTCTTACGCTATTCTCTCAGCAAAGCCCCCTACTATCCTTGCTTTAGGAAGCACACGCACGGCACGAGCGCATGCACCCACACACACATGTATATATATATATATATATACACATGCATACATACATGCACATACACACACACACACCCACACACACACACGCGCACACACACTCTTTTGCCTTTGAACTTGCGTTCTGGTCGCGTTATTCTGGCAATCGTGGTTGACGAGACACCGCGGCTAAAGGATCCCACGAATATGACAAACATGAAGCTCATGTTGGGTTGTATCATGTTGCATGCTGTCCACGGTGGAACATATGTTCGTCGACCTTCCTTCTACTGGAGTCCCGGTCGGCCGCTTGTTCTGAAAACAAGACAGATGAAGTGCAGCCTGTGGTGGCTGAGCTTTGGCTTTCCATTGTCGGCTGCTGCGGGAAGACATGCATCAGACCGTCTGAAAGCCCAAGCGGTGCTAGCGATGTAGTTGTGATGGCACACGGACCTGTTCTGTCTGAGCTTTGACTCTCTTGTTATCTGAGCCAAACGGCTGCAAAGCTAGCAGTGAACAGGCAGGTAGTTCATGTCGCGTCCACTTCATGGTCTCGAAGGAGATAGACATGCCATGTTGCGTCAATGTGGTTGTAGCCAGACCTGTGAAAAAGAGATACCTCAAGCTTCGCTTTCTCACCGCTTGCAGTCCAGCTTAACTTGCGCGAAGAAGCTGCAAGTTGCTTTGGGAAGCTCAACTCGCAAGCCAGCCTGTGGTCGTTCAATAGAACCATACCTCAGAAAACTTCTCCTCTCGCTCTGAATAGTAACTTTCGACTTATACTGCATAGAAGTTCGTATAAACACATCTACAACCCACTCCATCACCTGTCGCCTGATAGCACGACGATCAAATCTAAGCGCTCATGTCTCGCCACATCATGGGCTCTATTAACTTGCAAGCCTGCACTGAAGTTGAAGCAAACTTTCACGGTCACCCTGCCACTTTTCGCTCGGACCGGTTTCTGTCAGTCTCTGCGTGAAGCACAGTGTGCCAGACCCTGCCGAACAAACCGCACAACTTCTGTGAGCTGGGGGCCTGGACCGGCACTGCGTCAAACGGCACATGCTGGTCTCCACGTACTCAGTCGCAGTTGGACCATCCCCGACTCTACGCAGGAGGACTGAAGACAGACGTTAGCAGCTGTTGCAAAAGATCAGCTCACCACTGAAGCACTGAGCACAGGCCACCCGGATCCACCCGGGTCGCGGTAACCTACCAAACAAACAGTGCCCTTTTCCTGCCTGAAGCAAGGCTCTGATTCAGGAGAAACTGATCTAGGAGTGATCAGTAGTCAAGAAGTTTGACCGGCAGAGACAGGGCATGAAGTCTTCTCGCAGCTTGCCCTCCACTCCAGAAAAGCTGCGCAGATGGTTGCTGCCATTGCTCGGGCGTTAACTACGAATGTTTTGAGCTCTTCGACTACCCAGAGTGACGAGCATGGACTTGCTCTCCTGCAATTTTGAGGTGACGGCAGCAGCTTGTCGCGTGTCAAGACTGTTTACACTGCGTTATGCACCGAGATTCGTCAGACCTTTCCAGTGGAGCAACACGACACTAGATAGCGCCGGCGCTTTAATCCTCGTGCGCTCTGGTCTGGGACATTGGCGAAGTGGACTCCGGGTGAGAGCAGGGATTTTGCAGCTGGCTCGCCGGGATGGTCAGATCCACTAGTCCCGCTTCGCCGGTTTGTGGATTTCACGGAAAACTTTGTCAAATTTGCGGTGCGTTGGCGGCAGCTTGAGCGGGATGTCGTCGTTGGGAAGCTCGGGTGCCCCTGAGAAGGAGCGAGCACCTGCGGGGCCATGACGATGAATAGAACAAAACTATGTTCCAAGCTGACAGCCTCTTCAACTTCTTGCATCGCTGTGTGTGCTAACAACTGAGGCCACGGCAGCAAGCGCATTCAGCCTGGACGGAGTTTGAAACACAGGACACCGAGTGTGTTCCGACCGTGCCCTGCTCTACATTACCGGGTCTTACCGTTTACTGTCAGCTTCGAACCAACTAACTGGACGGTACATGCCTGTACCGTAAAAAGCTGCTACAATGCTGCTCCATCTGCAGTCTGTCTTGCCTGGAGCATGCGATCTGCGACGACAGCGACCACTGCAAGACCTCGGATGAAATCGGAGCTCAAGCTGCTCATCGACGGCCCCACCGAGCGGTAGGGTACGTACAGCTTGCTGCACCCTACTGCGGCCTGATATGTGCCACCCAGTCTCGAAGCTGTAATGGTATGTAGATGTAGGTAGCATGCCTCAATGCCTCTGATGGCTAGTCTCAGCCCTGATTGCAGACGCAGGGCTAACGTCGCGTCTGCTTGGCATACGTGCTCAGTACAGCTCCGGTTGTAGAATGAGCACCTGACTCGGATGCGCAACTGTCACAGGTGTCATGGGTGATCGTGAAGTGCTCGTCGTTTGGACTGTGCGAGAAGAGTAGGTCGGCTTTGGACCCGTCGTACCAGAAAAGGCGCCGGGAACGGCATCCTCGAAGCGCAACAATGGTTTCTTGTGCCAAGAAAGGTGTGGGCCGGCTTATCAAGGCGGCAACAGATTATCAAGGCGGCAACAGATTAACTAACTGCACAGGAACAATCACTGAATCGAATTCCGAGTCTTTGCTACTCCGTTCTGATCTGGGCCAGTTGCAACTCTCTCCATCTTCTTCCAATTGACGTATCCGAGTTCTCGAGGCAGCTGCACTCCCCGGTATCCTCGCCACTCTCACACGCAGTCGCAGATGCACCCGTCCGAATCGAGAACGGTTTATCCGGAATGAGGCTTGCATCCTCCATAACGTTTCCGAAGCTTTTCGGCTATCAGCTTTGTAAGCAGTCGAAAAATGGAAATCGTCTGCTGCAGCGTGCTAGTCTGTCGCTACACACCTTTCGATGAACAGAGATGACATGAAGCCTGTGACTTTAGTTCAACTGACCGAAGAGCCTCACGCCTTAGGTGCCAGACACGGGATTTGGGCAACTCCGGCACAGCACGCCAAGCACACCAACCGTACAGACTGCGCTGGCCATTGCCATTTCAAGCGTGCAAGCACCACGGCAGGGTATGCATGCTCCAGTCGCAGCATTGGGAAGTTCTCCTTCAATACACAACCAAATCAACTGCTGAACCGCTAATTAGGCAAATGGAGCTCATCTCCAACCTGAACGAAAGTGATCTCGGTCAGACATTTGAAATGCTTGAACCATCAAGCCGACTGTCGACCGGTCTTGCTGGCGCCTCGTGCGTGGGGCTGAGATCAGCTTGCGGCGCATGGAACCCCGTTTGCTTAGACTTTCACAATCTGGCGAAAGTGGAATCGGACATGCTAACTTCCAGGAAAGTGTCCGAACAGGCCAGGGGTGCGAGGGACATACTGTGGCGCGTGACTACCAGAATGCTCGAGGAAATTCGAGGAATGAAGGCGTCGAACGTTCACAGCATATACCTTCAACCAGGAGCACAATTGCACGCGCTTCCATGCGGCAGCAGTAGAACCTGGCTGTGTCCAAGCTGAAGATCCTTTCAATCGGCCGGTCTTGCTTGGGGGGAGAGGCTGGCTAACACTGGCCTAGCCGTCTCACATGGCTAGTGCCTTTCCCTTAAACCTGCAAAGGACACGTCAAACCGTTGCGGCTGTGTGTGGGGGAGTCAAACCCCCATCTGGAAGAAGTCCAACACTCGTGGCGCTCTCTTCCTTCGGCGCGTACGCCTGGTAGTTCTTTGGATGCAGTGAGACATATCCCAGGCATGGGAGCTGGGCAGATCATAGTGGTCTGTGTCTGCGAACTGCCATGAACAGCGCCGGGACACATATGAATCCTGCCATGGAGCCAATCGGGTCTTTAGCAGGAGTCGGGTTGACAAGTGTCCACGTGGGACCAGGGGCGCCACGTAATCGATCGCAACAGGCGACAGGCGCACATGCTGTGGTACCAGTGACTGCCAGATTCCCTGAGGAATGAATGGAGCGAGTTCCACGGCAATACCTACAGACCGGCAGTCCATGCACACAATGCCCTGAACCTCTATGCCGCTGAACTGAGGCACATGGCAAAAAAACATGCGACAGTGGCTCCCAAACTGTGCCCACACAGGATGATGCTGTTGTTTCGGCACAGGCGCATGCACGAGGCCAGGAATCCGCAGAGGCTACCAAGTCGCAGAGCCTCCTCCACAGGCTCAAAGCATTGGCTGGAAAATAGTTCGCAGAGGCAGTTGGGCACCCGTGGCGCGCGCACTCCGCCCGCAAACACAACCAGGGAAGTGCTCTCCGTCGCTTGGCCGCTTTGGCCTTCGCTCCGACTTTTCAGCACTTTTGGCTTAAGTCGCACTGACCTTCCAAGGACTTGCCCTCGTCTGGCTCAAGTCGCATGTGCTACATGGCGAAAGCCTGGCAGTGGCGACTGGGAACGATGCGAGACCATACACAGATATGCGCAGGCTGCTGGAGCCTTTTCTGGATTGCATCCCGAAAGCTTGAGGGAGCACATCCTCCAGCTTATGGCCTTGCCAACCAACTTCGAAAATCGTCTCCTCCAGTGCGAAATGTCGACCTCCAAACAAGCAACAGTATCGACAAATGTCACTGGCGAGGACCCCCATTTCCGCATGCACATGAAAGGTGCCAGCAACAGCGGCCACGTTCTCTCGGGAGACCAGCAGCTATGAACGATCCAGGCTTTGCCTCTGGAGTTCGTCCTACAAGTATGGCTGGGCTTGGGCTGCCAGTCAGTTGTTTTCGAAGAGATTGCGTTCTCGTCATAGGGATGGCTCTGGAACTTAGGTCTTCCTGCCGTCTGAGCGTTGCTTTAAAGAGGCACCTCCAGTAGCATGCCCGTGCTCTGCTTGTGAGCCACCCTACTGCAGCGGGCCTAGTATCTCGAGGAACTCCGCATCGGGACCTTCAGTGGAAGTGCAGACGCGAGCCGGACATGCTCAAAATGCTCAAGCGAGCGTAGTTCTGCGAGCCGAGACTTTGCAAGGCGATATCCCTTGGCCGCCTTGGCCTTATGAGGCTCGCGATGGAGTCGAGCTCGGTGTCGCCACGGAGTTCAACATGGGAACATGCCATGCGAACATGTCTCCCTTCCGAAGCAGTGCGCATGGGCCTGAAGATGTTGTGCATTCGTGTTGCATGCCTGCCCTGTGGGTGAGTGTACGACTTCTCTTGTTACTGGTCAGGTGACTAGAACCGATGGAACAGTTTGTAATCAAGGCGCAAACAGGCTGCGCCGAATTTGCTGGGGCCTCCATGAATCCTGAGCTCATGATGCACATCATCGTAGTCAGCTCTCAAGGTCCAATCAACGACAGCCGGATCCCGAAGTCCAGCGAACCCTCGAGGCGGAATTGTTGCGTAGCTTTCGGCAGGGCCGCCAGGGCTTGATGTGACTCTCGCAACCCTTAGCACTCAGGCACCGCGAGAGCCCCGACAGCTCCCGTCCTATGCCAGCCATGGCAAAAAGTGAAGCTTGGTCTGATGCGCAGGCCCTCTTATCGGATGTTGTTTTTCCTGGACCTCAACAGGCCAGGAATTAGGAGGGAAGGCCTGCTCCAAGCTGCACCGACGGTGGCACGCGATCGTAGACACAAGGCCCGAAGCTGAGGTGCATCTGCTCGCCTAGCAGCATGTTCTCGAAGCTCACTGGGTTATGGTGAAGAGACTATTGAGCAGTCGTCACACTGCATCTTCCTTAAACTCGGCAACCAAAAACCATTCATTTTCTGCTCACTAATTCCGTCTCATGTCGGACAGGTGGGTTCGCCGTTTGCGGAGCAGATATAGAACACAAGACTGCTTTCGCGACCCGTGCCGGGCAGCTCCCTGTGAAGGCATGTCAGAGCTGCACGACTTCTGCACGCTCTGCAAAGGAAGGTGGAAGGATACACAGCAACACATCAAGCAAACAGGCGAGAGTGCCAGGCCCGAAAACGAAGACACAGTGCCAGCGGAGCGTTTGATGGCTCTCACACGCTTCAACAGCCTACAAGCTTTGCAAGCTTTAGCATTCGAGAGTCTTACATCTGTTAGAGCCAGACCCAAGCTCAGGCTACACACACAAAGCTGCACAAGTGCGGCTGGGAGCACAGTCCGAGATTTTGCCACCGTGTCCCGGCATGCTGCTTGTGGGATCTCGGATGGCTTAGCCAGTCAAAGAAGTGGTGCTTTTTGGCAAAAGCTTAGCCTGCTAAGCGTCGGGCTTCGACACAACCTTACTGGGGGACTTGCAAGCCCAAGCAAACACACGGCCAATGGAAGCCTTCTTGAGCGCATCGGCGTCAACTCTTCTTCTCATCACAATTTTGCCAAAGCGCGCGAGACCCGCAACACAACAGATTTACAGACAGACCTTGGTGTGAGTTTGCCAAAACACAATTATTTGGGCTGGCGGTACGGTACACAAATAGAGTCCTTTTCACTCAGACTGATTGCATCTGCTGTGCGTCCTGTACCTGCATTGATTGCAGTTGCATTTGTCGCGTCTCGGTAGCAGGACAACTGTTCTTCGTCCGGAAATTTGTCAGCAAAAGATCAGGAGATTGTCGTGTCCCGCATGGAGCAATGGGCTGTGCAAGTTGCAATCCTCACAGCCAGAGCTCACCATGTTGGCGGTGGCAAGTGGGCAAGAATGTCTTGCGCGAAGCTGTCCCGCTTGCATGCATGCGAGTGCCTCTCAAACTCACCGTGCAGGAAGTGCCTGAAGATGCCAAATCTGACCCATTTAGCACAACAGGTGTGCATTCAGCACTTGCTTCACTGTCCTTTAAAAGCCTGGCAGGAACGGTGTGAGCTTAATTTACGATGCCTTGCCTGTCATGATGCATCCATACCACTCGATGTGGTTACGCTACAAAGCACATGCAGCCCCGGCAATTTGCTTGTGGGCTTGACTACAAGATACTTTTGCGGGCAACCTCCCTGCTTTGCTCCTTCAGCAGAAATGCAGAATAGTACTCGCTGCAGGCACATGGAAACCTACGAAGCAGAGTGAATATCCATGGGCTATGCTTCTCAGGATAGTTTGTAGCAGATCACAGTCTTGGATACGGACCGGTTTTGCGCAAAAGCTGGGCCGAAGCACCAAAAGAGCGGCGAGTCATCAAAGTCGGTATCTTCAAACTGCCTCACGGGGTATTTGTCATTAGGATTTTTTGAAAGGTCTTTCCACTCTGAGTGACTGAATAAGACGCGATGCATGAAAAGCTGCAACGAACGATATGAGTCAAGCACCTCCGAACCGTTACCCTTGCATCCAACCGACTCGTAAAGCTTATGGAACGCAGGGAACTTGGGCGGTGCTTCCGCCCGTCTGCTTCTGCTGACGACTGGTGGTTCTTGTCCATGCGCAGCACACATTCAGCCCACATTCAAGATACTGAGGTATCACAAGCAAGTGGATCTATCGGACTTATGGCAGGGCTTACATCAGACACTTCCACGATTTTTGTAGTATAGTGTCGTACTCAGCTTTAACATCTACAGCTCAAATTCGGCAAAATGCAAGGACTCCTTGGTTTTTGAGATACTTAAAGTTTAAAGCCTGTCTCATGCCGCTGGTGCAAACTTCCGGAGCCACGGTCCGAGTTCAGAGCACAGAAGGGTCACACCGCATCGGGCCTCCACAAAACTCGCCTGGACACGCTCAAGCAGGTCCACGCATAGCGCGTGCTTGCCTTATCCCGAAAAGCAGCCTATGCCAACCTAGCCCTGAGAAAACAGCCTTAAGCAACGGAAGCCGACATCTTTGCAGGACTCGGCCGTGCATGCATCACAGCTTGTATGCCTTTCGCCAGAGAGGTGTAGCACGCCCCGGCTGACCTAGCCGGAAAGTCGGCGTGGTCCTAAACCTGGCCCACTCCGCTGAAGTGTACAGTGCAGATCAAAACCTGGCGGTGAGGTGGTGCCTTCTCAGCTGTTGTGGAAGGGTTGAGGTCACGACATGACATGCCCATCTCAAACGGTCCTTCGGGATGAATTGCTCCGCTGATATGCCAAAGAGAATCGGAATCGAGTGACAAGCATGATCAAACTTCATTTTTCGTATGTACCTTCCAAGAGATTTGCTGTGAAAAATGCAACATCTTCGCACCCCTTGTTTCAAAGGCTAGCTCGGGGAGTAGAGGGTTCTTGACACAATCCATCGACAAGTCCGCATTTATTCTGGCGCCTGCTCCGTAGCTGAATCTGGCCAGGACATTGTTTACAGGGTGGCAGAGGTCAAACAGATGACCCGAGTTCTGCTACATAAGGCGTTTGCCTAGCCCTAGTGGGAGCTATGGAGCGGAGAGACTTAAAGCCACGGATGGACGGAAGAAGCCAAAATCAAGTTTGCCTTGACCAGAAGCCATGCAGGTAAGGCTAACCGCAGCGAAAGCCACCTGCCCAGTAGCAGGCAACTGCGGGGCTGGATCTGCTTGAATTCACATCTCATCCTGTTGGTACCGTTGCCGTGGTGCGGCGATGCTCCATTCTCAGCGTCGGCTATCGCAAGGAGTGCTTCTCACCGGTTAACAAAACTTGTAGGCTTGGGCTTTTTCGCAGCAGCGGCCTTGCGAAGCTACACTTCCAGACCTTGAATTCCATTCAATCTTGCACCTTCCAAGCAGCTGTTCTATTGACAGGAGACTTGAAGCAACCACAATTCCTTTTTCCATGCACACGACTCGCTCTCTTGTTGTGCCCTTTGGCCGTACATTGCGGCTCGATCAGCATGTAGCGAATACTGAATCAATGCTCACGGAACAGCCGTGTGCAGCCTTGCAGCTGGGCATCAATTCCAACCTGGAGCGGAAAAGACAAATGCTGGAGCTGCCATCTGTCAACTCGTGTCTGTTTTACTGCCGGATCAGAGCTCAAAACAAGGCAGGTGAGTACAAACCACGCGTTAAGCCAAAATAGAAACACTAGACTTTTTTGGCCTCAGTGCATGCGTGCAAAACACGGATGCGCATTCTGTGCCTTGCGTGGATGCCGCGGGGTTGGGCCGATGCCGGCCACATTAAATGAAGAATCGAGAGGGTGGGAAGTCACGCTGAAGCCGCCAGATCGAACGTGACGAACAAGCACTGTGTGCACTTCCAAACAAGCTGCGAAATAACGATCTGTGAACCAAATTCGCCATAGAGCGTACGTGTGTGTGTGTGTGTGTGGCCGGGCAACCCGTCCTCGAAAAAACACCGACAACAAACACATGAGTGATAAGTCTAACAGTCTAACGGTTCACCAAGCACGCAGGTGCAGAATGGCTCAAAGTGGCGTTCGCAGTCGATGGTAGAAGTGAGGCATCCAAATCGGATCGGCAGCTTGCCCGGGGAGGATGGTTCCGAACTGGCCAGTCGATGAAGGTGGTTGGAACCTCTTGGAAACGATGAAGAGGGTGAGGGTATGCATGAGCATATCCAAGAAGTAGATGAACGCCTGCGCATCGAAGGTCAAAGATACTACAGGTACTCTCCACAAGGGCCTTCCGGTAGTCGAAGCAGGCCTCGTGGTTCAAGTGCCGGCTGCAAGTGCGTATCAGGCGACTCGGCGGAAACGAAGGCCCGACGAGGGGCGCGGCAATCTCAATCATGCACAGCATCGCACATGCGAAGGTGTCAGCAGGGTGTGCGCATCGCCTTCGAAAGGGCGTCGTGAACAGGTGGGGTGGGGTATTGACGCCGCTGGCGATGGCCCAACAGGCCGCATTGAAGCGCCTCGTTGGCGCTCCTCTGCTGCAAGTGACGTCGGCTTGACCTCCCTCCAACCGCTCTAGCCAGCATGCCAGGCATGCCTGGCCTGAACCGAACGGCTGCTACAATGAAGGACCGGCGGCCGGAACAGAGCGAAGCGCAGACGCAGCAAGGCGAGCAAAGAAAGAGAGCAAGAAGGGCACGGTAAGAAAGCGGGTTCGGAGGCTGGAAGAGGCACCGCAGCCGTGCGGCCCCATCCACAACCGCAGTGGTGGCAATGATGTGCTCGCGGTAGTACTAAGAAACACAAGGAAACAAAGTAGGAATGGAACGCGCGGGATGATTTAGTTAAAGAAGTGCATGCAAGAAGCGTATGCACGCTTGCATGCATTTGCTTCATTACTCTGCAAAGTACGTTTCCGGATCCGTAAAGTATCCTTTTCCTCCTCTTCTTGGAGGGGTGGTGCCTAAGGTGAGGAACGAACGGAAAAGGCAGCGATGAAAATGATGCACGGGATTGATACAAACATATGTGCTTTGGCTTCGTTCCGCTCTCGCGCATCAATAGATTCCGCGGTAGTCAGATTCCCGCCCGTGTCGATGTAGCTGTGCCAAGCCTCTCGCATCGCAAACCATAGGCAGGCCACCTCAGGTCTGGCTTTCAATGCACTTGCGATGCGCTTTGTTGTCCTGATGATTTCCAGGTGGTGCCGTAGCTACGTTGAGTTGAATGAGAACCAATTGCTGTTGTCTCAAAGTTGAAAGTTGGCTGTTCTTTCACGGCCCGTCGAGAAAGCAGCCTGAAATTCTTGATAAACAACCAGCCTGCACTGTTCCGATGTTCAGGCTTATTGAAGACGGCACGGCCAGAGATAATAGGGCCCTTGCTGAAAGATGGGATCAAAGGCAGGCTGTACTCCCATGAGCTAGAGAGAAAGCACGGAACGGGCAAAGCTCTGCCAAGTTGCGTTGATCGCAATGATGGGAATTCCAACTTCACGCTCCAGTCTGTCTGCCAGGTTGACAAATGACAAGTTGGTGCCACACTGCACCACCGCATCCTGAGCATCTCAACCGTGAACCGAAGTGGACACGCACAAACGGAACACGAAGCTCAAGCTCATCCAAGCTGCAATGTCAGGCAGTAGAAGGTTTTCTCGGACAACTTTCTCACACCAAGCTTCGGGCCTCAACGAGCTTTGACAGGACGGTGAGTAGGGTTCCCAGGTTAACCTCCAACGACAAGTCCCTGTAAGTCGCAAGCACATGAGCGATGTCGGTCGCCTCGGCTGTCTGCCGTAGGCCGCCACATGTAGTGAATTGTGAATCGATTCTGTGAAGATGCTTATGAAAGGCACAAATTAGCTCCAGTCCCTCACGGTAGAATCAAACAAGGCGCTTCAGCGCAAGTCGCGAGAGACATGCTACATCGATTCAAGATGAACTTCTGCTCAACATATATCATCAACCTCAAACGACATATCCTCCGAGCACAGAGCAATGCTCCCTGACTGGACAACAGACAGCGGAAACGGAAAACCTAAACTGGAAGGCTGATACACCCGCAAGCTGCGAACATCTGCCAGAAGAGCACAAGTCCAACGAAGCTCCACTCACTCTCGTAGGTATTTGAGCAACATGTCTCTCTAGACTTCGGGCCCGAGTTGACATTGGATACACCTGAGCAGAACTGAGCATGATGCTGCTGAGGGGCTGAGCCACATTTGAGCCCTGCAATGCGGACAACTTCGATTCCAATCTCCGAAAAAAACTTGACCACGTTTCGATCACCTTCCGAGGGATCGTTTTCGCCAACTTCAACGTGCGCATGCTGCAGGCTGCAAAATGCCGCCACGATTCCTCAAAACACCCTCCGGCGATTGTTCAAAAGCACTCGCCTATGTCCTGGTAGGGTGTAATGACCTGACGCAAGCAAGCTCTAGCAGGCATTCATTATCTTGCAGTGCTGACCTGCTGTGAATGAATTCAGTGTCCTGCAGTGATTCGCTTGGCTCCAAACTTTTCCAGAGATGCCTGCTCAGGGACTCAGGTGTCGCTGTGTCTCGCTGCCTACAGCATGACACATCAAAACTGCGTTAGCCTGCCAAAAGAGGCTTCTTAACCAGACAGCTCTGCATGTCCTTGATCTAAAATCCAAGTGCTCCACTACATGCATTCTTCCGCGATGCCGACACCCACTGGTTTCACACATAGAGGGATACAGCCACAAAGACAAGCCGCAAAGTGCAAAGCCCCGATGATCTATTCGATGATGCTACATAACATCATGACCCGTTCCAGTTGAAAGGAGCTTCGCGATTTTTGTTGCCTAGAACCCTAATTTGCGAGATGTTTTGCTCATCGAATCCGGCGCTAAGATCGCATACCGTAAAAGCATCTTTGCATGTCTCAACAAATCAGTTGTCTCTCGACTAAGTATTCTTAATTCGCTCATTACTTTCCCATTGGTCCATTTCCTATCAATGTATAGGTAAGGGGTACATTCAATACTGGTCGCAACGTCTTCGTTTGAAACGCATCTGTTCGATCTGATTTTCGTAACTGCATTGCCTCTAACCCATACAATCAGCTATCATTTATTCAATACAGCGGCATCTAAAACTATCAGTTGTTAGATGTTTTTGGTTTGCTTGCTGTAGCATCAGCGTCCCCCCGTTTGTTTGCAAATCTTTCTGATTATCTACAGCATCTGTCAATGTGGCACTCATGTGTGTTTTCCTTGGCACTTTCTTTCCACCCATGTGTTTAATTGAGGACTGGTGCTGATTCACCGTAGGATCAGCACATTCGTCCATATCTAATTTCATGCTGTATCGTTCTGACTCTTGTTGGATTTGGTGCAAGAGCTTGTTTATCGAATGTGCATGGGCACCAGAGATTAAGGACTTATATCTGCATCTAAGACTTCTGAGTAATGTGGTCCGGGGGTTGGTTCCCTTGGCTTTGGCAGGTTTAAGTCTGACTTATAAACGCCGTCTCGATACATGCTTCCCATTGTTCTGATGATGTCTTCATGAACTGATAACCTGTTGAGGATTTCTAGTAAGCGCAGTTGGCCCATCTTGTCGAAACATTTTTCCCAGTCCAGCAATATTAGCGACATGTCTGTTCCGTGTCGTTTTGGCAAATCGATAAGGCTGCTTGCTTTAAATATGGCTTGTGCCGAAGACTTCGCTTTACGAAAACCGATACTGTGTTTTCGATAGCCATGGAACGATGCCATCTACCCAGGCTGCGGGTATCTTGCAAAAGGTTTGCAATGGCCTGTAGATTTCAAGCTTGGCAGGAGCGGAGACTTGAAAATAGAGGCTATATTGGTCAAGTTTAGCGAGTCACGGTATTTTCCATGTCATAACAATGCAGCAACAAGCGACTTCTGTCACCATCGTCCAACCACTTAACCATCTCACCTAACATTTCGTCAAGTCAAGGGGTTATTGTGTTGCCCATAGAACTGTAGATTCCATCGGCTAACATCGTTACCCCTTTCCAATGTATCATTTTATGTGAGTTTCTCGAGTTGCTGCCTAATTCAAACTTCGGTTGTCTAGTCTTAACGTATATGTTTTCGCAACAGTTATTCTATGTCTTCTGCCTCGTGTCGTGGACCTCGCTGATTTTTGTTGGTTGCTGCATAGGAGCTGTCATGTTGTTCTGAATTGTAGCACTTTTCCTGTTTTGTCGGGATGGCAGCAAGTTATGTGCCACTGCTTGGTTCTGACTTTCTGCCCATACTTCAAAGGGGTCTATGCTGTCAGACTTCGGCTCCCTTCCTCCCTAAACATATGCTCGCCGAGAGTTTCTGTCTCGTGCGGGAGCCTTTCTATAAGCCTAGCCGTGACATCTCTCAGTACTATGCGCATTTCGTGCTTAGGGATATTCTCCAATGCCTTGCCCAGACTTCTTCCCGCGTGCCGTAAATAGGCAGTTCGCAGTGGCGAGGGGTCAAAAGTAATCGTAGGTACTGTATTCTTCCATTTACGTGTGCGATGTTACACTTGTCCTTCTCCAACTTCTTGTCATTGTGCTACCAGCGCATCTGTATGCTGCAGGCCAACAGATGCAATGATATCGGACTGGCTCGTTGCCCACTTGCACAAGGCAAGCCCAGCACTGCATGATTGCGGTACTTTGCCCTCCAGCCTTGCAAGCCTCTGCGCCGGTGGCTATGTTCAGGCCCGTTCTGTCACTCAGTTCCTTTTTGAACTCCTGCACAGGTTGTGGCATCTGCAAGTAGCAAACTCTTGCACATTTTTGCATGCACATCAGGTTCACCATGACCTTGTTGCCTTCCCATCCACCGAAAAATGTCTCCAAAGACATACCTGATCCAGATGTTGCCGGAGCAAGCGAAGCTGCCAGCTGACAGTCCAATTATGTTGATCTTGATGCGCAGGAATGCATAAAGACGACAGCATGCTAAATGGATGTCTTCGAACATACAAGCAAACTCGATTGGTGCTCCTGTATCCGGTGATCGGCATATCTACCACAATTTGTATTGTTAATTGGATCTTGATCAAGCCCTTCGTGCCTGAGGGGCTTTGTTGAATTCCCTGTTAACCGGCATCCGGCACGGGCCACAGTCGTACAACCACAACAGCATAATTGCGACGTTTGTTCTTGGTGAATGTCACTGGCGTCTAATATGGGAGTCGCAGGGCCTGATCTTGAGTGAGCCTCCAGTGCACAATTGCCTTGTGCTGTCTGCTGCCATTGACTGCATTGGCTTCCATTGCCGTGGTATCGCGAAGCATTTACAGCCGCACACATGCTGCTTCGGACGACGCCGAGCTGCCCATGATGATGTACTGCGGCTCCGACGTCATCAACCGGTCAACAGTGGTAAAGATCTGTTTGCGGAACCTCAAGTCTTGAACAGTTTGGTCCGAGTCATGGCATACAAAAAAATTCGCGAGCACGAACGAGTTGTATCATGAAAGTCTGACTGCCAGGCCACAACTGCAGAAAATGCAACATGTCTTCATCAGTTGCCAGCTTGGGGCTGTCAATCAGGATCCCCGACATGTGGAACCCGATGCCCTGCCACGCTGCCAAGCAAAGAAGGCACGGTTTTCAAGCACTTTGTCTTCCCGATTGACTACTGAGGTGGAGATATCACCTTTCTGTATGGATCAAGGCCTTGCAAACGTCCCGATTCTGCATAATCATGCTCCAGAAGTCGTACTCCACAGTGGTGTTAGTGGACGGAATGATGACCTCAAGAACTCATCTCGTTGAGTAGTTCCGAACGTGTCCTTCTAGCGGTCCGATTTTTCCGATGTCTGACAGACGTCCTTGGAACTTGTATCAACCACGGAATTATCAGACCTTATGTGACATTCCTCAGGAGCCCCATACACACCCGACAGAACCCCTGATATAAGCCTTCCTGGAGCGAACTCTCTCTCCATACTTATAACTTAGCAACCGACCTTAAACCCGGCCCCTGCATGTGTACCATGTCAATGTTGAGAAATGCTTGCCCTGACGCATGGTAACAAACTTCCACGTTCTCAATCTGAGCAACCACGATCCGGTACAATGAAGCAATGAAAACACCGTGAAGTCGTCAGTCTTCAGGCCGGAAGCTCCAAACTTCATGACGAATTCGTTCTGATCTGGGAAGCCGCCGCCAAGATCAAAGGTTTCCACCGAAACAGGCTGGCATTGACCGTCCTGATTTCTCAGCTAGTCTGATCTGCGGCATGCTGTCGAACAGCATGCCCCGCTGAGTCTTGCGCACTCCAGTCTATGTCGAGGCGGGCCAAGCATTCGATAGTTCAAACAACGCAGCTGAATACAAAGACACTCCCAAAGCCATTGCTGTCCTCCCACTTGGTAGGGTAGACGCCCTTCGGGTAGCCAGAATTCACATCAGGGATGCGCACTTCCTCTCCAGTGAGAGGGCCTAGGACTTGTCGCCAGTCGTTCCTTGGCACACTTGCCAGGACGATGTGTTTGCAAGAAACATCTGGAAACCAGGCAACAAAGGGGACTTGGTGGGATTGACGGACTGTGGCCGTCATACAAGCAGCTAGGATCCGTTTTGCAGACCTCCTAACAGGCCCTGGCAAGACACCACCGGCACGTTGCAGCACGCTAGGTAGCCGTGGATGTCACCTCTTCGATCGACTTCGAGCCAAGAGTCTTAGCGACGGTGCCGTTCGTATACTGCTTTCGCTTGCTGCTGAAGTCAGCACAAATCGCTTTGCTGTCCGTCGCCTGCGGAGTAAAGTCGCGCTGCCCTTTTTCGAAGTCGGTGACACCATCCACATCGCCTGATCGTGGACGCTTGCATGGCGGCTGTGCCATTGTTGCCTGTGAACTGGGCAATGCGATGTTTCGTTAACCATCGTTTATCTAGCACCGGCACATCATCATCCAGCAGTAGAGCAATATGTTTAACCTGTTGACTTGTGCTGTTGCCAGATACGAGTTTGCTGGCTGCAGCATCAACATGCGGACGTGGAAAGCAGCTTCAAGACAACCAGGACTCTCGCTACTGCGAGCGGCACCCACATGCTGCGCAAATGCACTGCTCGGTCTCCTGAACTGAGCAAGCTACCCACTTTTGCTCCATCAGCGCCGCCTGTGCCAGTGCTGCCAATGCTCCCCTCCTGTTCACCTTCGAATGCCTCGGCGAGCGGCTGCAGAGGACAATTACAAATGGGAAAGGTCATTCCAAGACATATCTGTCGCTCTCGCCCCAGCTGAGTTGTTACCATTCTGCTCCGAGAGACCCTTGCGCCGCCTGCGACTGACTTTCTTCCTCTCGCCTGCGGACACGGCTCAACCACATCGCTGACTGATTCAGCCCTTGATGCTTGATAGATGTTTGTCCTCTCTGCTAGGCTTTGCACTCCTGCTGCTGTGGAGTTCTAACTCCTTCTCGCACATGGGCTGTCTTGTTTGACGGTTTGATCAGCCCACGCTTGAATTCTTATTTGTGCTGCAAGCGAAGACAACTCACAAATCCGCGCGGCGTGGCCTTCTATCATCTGCGGCCTGCCAGACGAATGGGCTTTGTTTGAGCTGTCTCTCAAACTGAGCAGCAGACCCTCGAAGACACCCTGGCAGGAGCCCACAATTGCCCCACAATCGCAGGCATGGTGAGAGAACATTGTAAGCCATGACTCTCTGTTTGCAGGCATGCCCGCGCTATCTGCGTCAGATCCTTTGCACCTCAAAGCAGACTACCTGACGCGCACTAAAGCTGTAGTAGCTCCTCAAAGAAACACAATTTGGCGGTGGGACGGTGTGAACAGTGTGGCATGGGGTGTAACAGGGTCTAGAGTCTATACGGCACCTCCTGACAAGTTGTACCGCCAGAGCGAAAGCAAACATGGGCAGACTTATAACCTCACCACTCCTTCGGATTTTGTTTGCATGGACTCGCAATGGCCTGCTCTTTCTGTCGATGGCGCTCTGCTACAACAGCGGCGATGGACCTTGCGAGCTGAAAGACACCATAGTTCTACATACAGGCCAAAGCCTAAGCTTCTGGAACCGTTGCAGTGGCGCCAGAACTTGTTCAAAGCTTGATAACTGCAGACGCTGAGTAGAAGGGCTTGTGCGAAGCGGCTCCGCATGTAAAGCACGGGAGATTCACGTCACCTTGCTCACGAAGCTTGCGCCTTTCCAGCGAATGAGCCGAGCAAGGATACGCAAGGACTAATCTGCACAGCGTTCTGACGCTGCGGATGTGCCTGTGAAAGCCATCTATGCAGTCGAAATGGAACCTGTGCCTACCTCAGAATGCATGCTGGGGCCGTGAGAGGTTGAAATTGTCACGCATACCCAGTTCTGCGCAGCTGGCACGGCAAGGTCTTCACATCACGGACTGCCTGCAGGCCATGTATTTCGATCTGTGCGGCAACAGCACATGCAGCATGAATCTACTGCCTCCATGACCTTCTTGCATATGTCACATTCTCCAAGGTTTGCCTCGTCAGTGGTAGACAGCCACATGATGCCACAGGGCACCGAGACGCGGGCCGCATAGATTCCTGGCCTCCGCCAAGTTTGGACCAGGACGCCACAACTCAGCTGGAGCCTGACATGAGACCGAGACCCAAACAGAACCGCAAGCTGACTCAAATGTGGCCTCTGAGGGAGTGCTGGTCTTTCTTTTAGCCAACTCATGCACCTGAACTCCGATCTCCTTTAGAGGCTGAAGGAATCAAAAAACGAGGAGTCCGCAATCATCTGTCCATCAGAGGCACTGGACAGTGAGATGTCAACTCTTCTCCCAGCTAGGCATGACGAATGAGCGATGATCTTTATTGACATGACGACATGGCCTCACCAGAGTATATCGACCACACATGCCAACTTGCAGTCTGCACTGCATGATTTCGGTCGTGTGGGGCTGGGTGAATAAGCTTTTTGCGTAGGACCATGACACGGTGCAAGTGAAATGCTCATCCGGCCTAAAGCCTGCTGTGAGCAGCAAAGCAAGCCTGTAGAAATTCCAGACAATGTCGGAGCAATGGGCGATGCAACAGCTCATTGAAGCCAAAGCTGCGCGCAAAAGGAGGCATGCAGGAGAAAAATGGCAAGACAACTTAGTCGGACCGCTTCACGCGACGACTCCACAAGCGTTGCTCGGGCAAGGATTTCAAAGCTCAAAGCCAAACCCACTGTCTTTTCGCGCAACTTCTAAGTCAGTCAACATCTAGTGCTGACTTGCCGTTTGCAGCGACCGGCGAGGGAGTGGAGTCTCCTCACGCAGTGGGAGAGAAATGATAGCTGCAAGTACCTCTGCCAGCCTTGTCCGAGAACTGACTCTGCCAACTTGACCAGTTCATCAGTCTTGGCCTGCACGCATCTGCCCCTTGCTCCCAGACAGACGGGGGCCAGGAAAAGCCTGAAGGGTCTCCACGGTCAGCACTGCATCATCTAACTTTGATAGCTTGGCTTGCTTGTCTTTCCTTGGCATAGAGTTGCGTGGAAAGCATCAGCATGTTTCGGCAGACGAAAGGCTCCAGGTCCTCGCAGGTCTATGCGCGGCTTCAGATCTGGTCGCGATCTTCCCGCAGTCGGGCAAATATGTGAAAGATATGCAACGGTTCGCCATGAACTGTCTCTGTCGGTATGTCCGGATGCTTCCACCGACACTTTGGTCAAGAAGCTTTGCTACTTTGGGTCCAGAACTGACACAGGAACACAAACATCCTGCCGCATAACGGTTCGAGCATGTCGACCAAACGAAGCACAGGACTACTGAGGTGGGTGTCGAAGCTGCACGGGTGCACAGCAGTCCACAAGACTCCATGTCTGAAAAAGTACTTGGCGAAATCATTCGAAGGATGCCACCGGCCCGGACAGTCAAATTTCCGCGCTTAGTGGAGCTCTAGATTCTAGTCGGGCATGCAATCACTCTCATGCTGTCTTTGAAGTTGCTCAATCGCTTCTACAACCGAGTGGGCCAAGTGCAAGGCTCACCTGCCGGTCTTTGGTCACTGACAAACCGCAAACATATACAAGCAACGACCGTCAGAAATGCTACTGCAGCCCTGCTGTAGCAAAAGCAACCAGATCAGCCGAGAGTCGAGTCCGTCAACCACTGCAGAACCTCGTGGTGACCATGCTAGCGAAAGGGATAGTATAAAAGTGAATAATCCGCGGTTTGCACCAACTTTGCACGAATCCAACTTGTTTTGAAGTCACACGAGGCAACGCTGGATGCCTCGTCACAAGTCTTCTCCAGTCCTTGCAACTTGGCGTTCTCAGTGATGCTGCGGGGGTTCGGCTGCCCTTGCGCTGTGGCCGCTGCGGCCTACCAAACTACTCGTGGCAGCGCGGAAGAAAACTCGCTACGAGCAACTCATCTCTTTCCACTTTGTACGAAACTTGCCTTGAACCTGGAAATGGATTCTTCCAAGCTATGGATAAGTTCTGGTCTGCGGGCATCATCGCGATGACCTCTGTCACTGCGAACTGAGTGCCGCTGCAAGGAAACATCTTACTCTTACTCAACCTTGGGACCGAGCGTGCTTCAGCTGGGCCACCCAAAACCTGTAGCATGTCGGTAGTCGATATCAAAAAGCAAAACGAACTCTTGGCCCTCGCAGGTCAAGTGCATCTGCTCGCTTGCAGAACGATTTTTGGACCTCTGCAACTTGGCTGAATAACTGTTGATGATATTTATCCTGCATTACCTTAAAGACCCTAAACTACGCGAATTATGGTATCTTCCTTATAATGGGTAATGCAGGATCTATATCATCAACCGAATTAGTCTGGTTCATCCAACACCGAAGTCACGATTATCTGTCATTGATTCATGCAAGTAAGAATTGACTGGCTGTGGACTGATGCATAAGCAGCCTTTCACTTTGCCCTTTCGAGCGCTGTTAAAACGCCCCGATATGCTGCTCAAGGTCTTGATCCGCATGCTTAGCTTAGTGTGGATAGCGAGTTCCAGCTTGCGCGCCGCAAGCTCTGCACCAGACTTCTTTGCGGAGCATGGGTTTGTGTTGCCGCCAGGCCCGTTTGAGCAAACGCGCATGCCTGTCAAGTGCACTCGATTCTTCCGCTTGTGGGTCACGGAAATCCAGGCCTCACGACTGTGCGTATTGGCTGCTTCTTCTTTCACTCCTTCTCAAAATAAACCTGAACCCTGCATCAAGAAGACCTCGTCGTAACCCGTCCAGGCCACAGAACTGACCCCCAAATACGAAATCGAGACAGGACTCGGGGTCGCCCCGGAGGAGCCTGCCTGACGAGCTCCTTCACCAAAACCTCATATTTAGAGCCCGCATGAGCCGACATAAGCAAGTTTGTCACAGCAGTGTTTCCCGATGTCGACATCGCCCTTATCCGCACGCAAACAAAAACACAAACAAACAGCACAAGGACAACAATCGCCGCACTCTACAGCT